CATAAGATGTGGCCATCTCAGGCGCGCCATTAATCCAATCGGGGAGCTTCTCATCGTTGTACTCCCTTCTGAAACGATCCGAGAGCAGCTTTCCAAAGGCACTAGGCTGAACATCAAAGTAGACCTCACAGCGTGACCCTAAAGCAAACGATTCCGAGAAAGCAGCCGCTTGGTCTGATTGATTGTTGAATAACGGGTTACGATCGGTCACTTCATTGTAAATCTCATCGATTGCTCCTTTCCTCGCAGCGCAGAAAAGTGCTAATGCCATGATATCAGTATACGCATCGATGTGATCATTTTGAAGCAGCTGGCAGAAGGCCTTTGATACCAAAGCAAGGTCTTCCTCGCGATGCTCTCTCAGGATCTGGGTAAAAGCGGCATCTGTCTGATAGAATAATGAGAGACATTTAGCGGGCGACGGATGTTGGCATCCCTGTTCTCGGTACCATTTGATGCGGGTATTAACCAAAACTTCGGGAGAAGCCGAGCCTTCAAGATATGAGACCGTGTTAAGCTCCTTCAGCTGAGAGAGTGAAGGTGCATCAATAAGCAGTCTCCGAATGTATGCACAGATACTGTCTGAGAGCTCACTGTATGAGTCGGTCAAGGAGAGATGCTGAAATAGAAGCAGTCGCTCTTCGGGGCTCAGCATGTCAATGTCTTGGACGAATCGGCGAGGAAGTCCGGTGTCCTCGCCGAGGTCCTGGGACCATTTGGCTAAAGCGGTTTCTACCTCAAAACAAACGTGGCGGGAGTATCCTTTTGCAGACAAGAACGTATGCAGTACAGTTCCTGCTAAACCTTGGGCTTTTTTCGAAGCAAAAACTTCAAAGCCATCCGAGTCCATCTGGTAAACTGCCCAAAAGCGCACGTCGACACTCTTACGAAGTCCTGAGTCCAGTCCAAGGTTGACCTGCAATGAGCCGTTCGTTGCCAGATTAGCTAGTTCCTTGATTGAAGTCGCCAGTTGATCCGAGGTTCCGTTTGTAACAGCGTAAGGATCTGAGCTGGTTGCATTGGGAAGCATATAAGATTCGTGAAATTTCTTGAGGAGCACACCGATGCTCTGAATCTTGGAAACAGGAACCGGGTGAAGCAAGCCCAGTGATTTAAGGCGCAGTTGTGACTGAAGGACTTCGGCAAAAGCAAGTGCTGTTGCCTCAGATCCAAGCGGGAAGCAACCAAGAGAGTTATATTCAATACCGGCCATTGATATGGATAGCGGACTCCCCAGAGACTTCACCTGTGCCACCCACTCCGGTGGATCGCGGAGTTTTGTCGTCAGCTCGTTGCTCTCAGGCTGAGCATATTCCGACGAGGTAAGCAACTCTTCCAGGGTAGGAAAAAATGGCAACAATGTATTCCAAGCGCTCGTGTCGGATACATCGTTCTTGATATGCAAATTTGAACGCCAGCGATCATGAGCTTTGATGATTTCGGCATCTTTCAGCCATCCAAACGAGGGGAGAGGCTCTGAGATCTTGACGTTAAGGGCAGCATTTGTGAGAGCCGACTTCTGGCCAATCCATGGGATCGCACTGTAAAAGTTACACCATTGAAGAGACCTTTGGACAACCGCATTCGATAATGCGGCATTGTCATCGATTGTCTCCCACGCCATCACCACGAAATCTCTCACACAAGCTTCGGAAACGAACGCCTTGATGGTGGGTTGCATCTTCACGAGTTGAAAATAGTCGCGCTTCTGGCCTTCTGGCAGGATACTGGCATTCTGAATAACGATTCCGGAAATTGCAGGGCTCTGCATGGAGTTGCGATCCTTTAGAAAATCTGGGGGTGCGGTCTCAAGGTAAACTGCCAGACCCAACTCATCGATCACCTCGACGAGCTTAGTGAAAACCGAAGCGGGAAACTTCCCTTCCCAATTGGCCAGGACCATACCGCTGAAGTTAGCACTGTCGAATGTGCCTGTAAGAAGGTTGTCGATCTTTTCGATTGCTGACAATGTCGACTCATCCTTTGAGAGGACACGATCCAGGTCAACTCTTCCCAATAACTGCTTACCCTCCACATAGCGAATTGCTTGGGCCGTGCCTGACTGAAAAGGATCGACGATCAATAAATCCCATTCATTCAGGAGCCGAAGCTGATCCTGATCTGGCGGGGAAGTGAATGAACCAAGATAGATACCAAAAGAAGACGGCTTGCGTCTTTGAATGTTTGGCACATTGAGCAACTTGTTGGAAAGAGTAACCAACCGTTGAGATACATTGGGTGGCACTTTCTCTGAGCGTGGCCTTGTCTGTGATTTGGATCAGGTGAGCGACAGATCAGATACGCAATCACAAATAGAATAAGGAAGCTCTACCTTAATATAGTTGCGCAGTCTTTTCGTCCCAGAGTACAGAAGCCACAAGGATCCTGTGGCAACACAAGCTATTAAGATAGCGATAAACACCTAACATAGCATTAGTCAGTGAGAGTTGAAACATATTATGCAATCACTACTTACAAACTGCCACCAATGATCTTTCATTTTATCCCAGCCGAGGGCTGAGACGTGGAGGATTTCCGCCATCCTGATTAGATATTGCAGGCCAACCTCACAGGTCCGACCATCAAAACGAGAGACTAAGAAAGAAACGAAAGTGAAGGGATTGGAGAGGTATACCCTTGAGGGCGTATGGCGTTAAAAGAGAAACGGTCAAAGTGCTAAGTGCTCATGACAACAACGTGCCGCTTTACGGGGCCAAAAGTCAGATGAGATCTCAGACCGTCGAAGGTGAGGCTGAACGAATGAGAATTAGAACAAAAAGGGTATTCCAAAAGCGAGTGATCAAAAAAGAAACGAAGGGAAAACACGAAGGCACAATGACAAAAGTAAAGAAAAAGTAAAGAAGAAAGATACAGCAAGCTGGAGACTGGGTGAAAGAATGCTACCTAGCATGCATTCATCCAACAGCTACTGTACTTTCGGTTGTACCTCAAAGGAAGAAAGCGTCCTTTTCCTTTTTTTCGTTTTTCTTTTTTTTTTAAAAAGAAAAAAAAAAAAAAAAAAACGCTTAGCCGTAGTTGGGTTGCAGATATGGCCAGTGTTCTCACTTCTAGCCTCTAATTATGGAACCACTCTGACAGTAGGGGCGCTTCTGATAGCAGGACTCAAGAGGCGGACAAAAATAGCCAGCGACCAACGACTAGTCTGACGCTAAAACATGTTAGGGAGTCTGAGGACTGCCAGATGGAAAGGATTAAGAAGACAAGATCCATTATAGGTATAGTAGCATCAGGATCCATCTCGGGCAGATGCGATTGAGACGTGGGGAGGGAGGCAAAAGCGTGGCAGTCCACCAACTAACGACAAACTGCTCGGAGAGCACCGAGAAAAGTTAGATGGAACGGTGACACTCGACGAGAACCAGTGATGGAAGGCCATGATGCAGAAAAGCGGACAATTTGCCTCCGATTCCATGAGTACCAAAAGGAAGAGATTTTCTCCAAATCATCGACCATTGGGTAGCACAATTGTCGGGACTCTTGATGTGTACGGCCATTGGCGGTGGTGTGGCATAGTGGATGCTTGAAAGTGTTGTCTGGATCAAGGCGGAGTGTCTGGAAAAAGTTAGTATGCATGGAAGAAAAAAGTAAAAAAGGATAAAATTAAAAATAAAAATAAAAATAAAAGTATTGAATAAATTAATAACCTACGTACGAGGATCCTAAAAAGAAAAGGAAAAAAAAAGTTGGATAGCGGGGTGGAGATGGCTATAAACCAAACAGGGTTAAGTGTGGTCGTGGAGTCAATGGGTACTGTACGGTATGGATGAAGTTTGCAAATTTGCGATCCTGCATGACCGTATTTCGGATTGAACCGTATTACCCTAGTTTATCATGAGGATCGGTATTGTATGTACCGCACTAGCCACACTCGGCACGTACTACAGTTATTCAAATTCAATTCCTCCTCGTACCTGACCCGACTTTTTGAGGTTAGTTGAACCACCCGCTGGACACGCTAGACAATTTACACAAGTCCAAAATCACTGAGAAATCCTCTTAACACTAATATTGTGTCGACTAACTACTAGTAGTACATAATGATTATGAATCAAATTCAATCAATACGAGTCAGCCTGCATGGAGCCGACAAGGTTTCTCCGATTGTTTGATCCATGAAATCCGTTCTCAATGTCCTCTTTCCCTTTTCTCGTTTTGCACCCCACAATTGGCCCCCCCTTTCAACCATCTTATCGCCTCTTGAGACGCTGAGGCTCCAATTCAGGACATGGAGACCCTTTACTAATTGAAATCCGATCCTCGCCTAGAATGGCGACTTTCCGCGGCGACTCAGCCACTGCTTCCGGGTCATGGCCGAGCATTTACGAGCTACTCCGTATCGCTTCTCTCCTTCCCTGGTTGCCCATTGCCTAGTGCAGGGAATATCCACGATGTTGACTGAGGCGCGATGGGGTTTTTCTGACGACTCAACCTGTTCGGTGTTAATGCAATTTCCACCTATGCAAGCCATCGGCTTTTGTTCGATCGCCTCCGTTGGACTGAATCGATTCCACCGGTTGATTCTTGGCCGATATTGCCCTATTTTTCTTTTTTAAAACCCCCCCCCCCCCTTCTATTTTTTCGGCAAACTTAGCCTCTTGGGGTTTTGCAGAAATCTGAGTCCAATTAAAATAAGTCAAAGTAGAAAAACAAAAATTACTCCGTAGCCGACAGAAGTCCGTGAATACACCAAAGAGTCCTATAGTGGAGCTTCGTTCAGGGTGGACACAGACAAAGGTATGAACGCATCGGTCTTGAGCGATAGGCTCTGAAGCTCCCGGTTTCCGCTATAAAATTGATGTATATAATGTGATTGTGCCCGCATCGACCGACAGGAATTGTCGATCAGCAGGCATTTTCGTGGATTGGACCCCAACAGGTCCACACTGTCATTCGTTATCATTCGCCCTCGATCTCTGCATCTTTCTTTGTGTGTTTCCACATCCCCCTAGGGTCCATTCAGGAACCTGGATCAGCTTCCAATGGTTCTGCCGTGGCTGCTGAGAACTGGCTGTTACTTCGGGCTTATAACTTGCGACACTCCCCCGGGTGTCTGGCCTGAAGGTATCCCAAGTGTGATCGCTCCTGTGCCTCCCTCACGCACCTCTGGAGTCACGACCAGCTCTCCCGGCATTACTTCGTCGGTCCTGTCGTTCACTTCTTCCCCTCCTGTCACGGGGCCATCGTCTTTCGTTACTACTACTTTCGCTTCCTCCGCTTCCTCTTCTACTTCAACCTCTCTACCTTCGTTTACTAGCACACTCGTTTCTGTCAGCACTCCCGTGAGTGCCTCTAGCACAATGTCTCTAATTCCTACTCCTTCGTCGAGTATCATTCCTTCCGCAACACCGTCCGCGTCGGTCATTACCAATGGTAACGTCGCCGGTGACATTTTGGTGATTGCGAAGGACACCGCTGCTGCTAATGTGGCCACCTCGGGCCTCAATGGCTATGGTATCCCTTTTACCACGTTGCTCGTTCCCCAGTCTGGTGTTGCCCTGCCCGAGCTGAACGGCACCGCCGGAGGAAACTTTGGCGGTATCGTAGTTGCGAGCGAGGTCAGTTACGACTATGGTGCCCAAGGCTTCCAGAGCGCTCTGACTACCGACCAATGGAATCAGCTCTACGCTTATCAGCTCGAGTACAGTGTACGCATGGTGCAGTATGATGTGTATCCGGGACCCAACTACGGTGCCTCTGCCGTGGGTGGAGGATGCTGCGACTCCGGTGTGGAGCAGCTTGTTTCTTTCTCGGACGTCAGTGACTTTAAGGAAGCTGGCCTGAAGACTGGTGCTGGCGTCAGTACGACAGGCCTCTGGCACTACCCGGCCACGGTCAATGACACTGCTACCACCAAGGAAATTGCTCGTTTTGCCGCCAACGGTAACTACGGTAGCGAGACCACTGCTGCAGTTATCAACAACTTCAATGGCAGACAGCAAATGGCTTTCTTCCTGTCTTTTGACACCACCTGGAGTGCAACTTCCAACTACCTGCAGCACGCATGGATCAACTGGCTCACTCGGGGTCTCTACGCTGGCCACCGCCGCGTCAACCTGAACACCCAGATTGATGACATGTTCCTCGAAACCGATATCTACCACCCCAATGATACGACCTTCCGTATCACCCCCAGAGACATGAAGGGTATCTCTGATTGGCTTCCGGAGATCAACGGCAAGATGAACCCTGGTAGCTCCTACTTTGTTGAGGTCGGACACAACGGTAACGGTGTTATCGAAGCCGCTACCGGTGTGAATGCCGATGCCTGCAACGGAGGTGGTATTGAATACGACTCGCCTGCTGATACTCCTCTGGAGTTCAAGAAGCCCCTGGGCACCGGCACTGATCTTTGGCCCAAGGACCAGATTGAGTACAACTGGACTACTGAGTGCACTCAGTTGGACGATCTTTTCATCTGGTGGACCACCCCAGCTAACCGCGACCAGTATGGCCACATCTCTCACACTTTTACTCATGAGGAGCAGAACAATGCCACCTACAACGACGTTAAGAGGGAGATCTCTTTCAACCAGGCTTGGTTGAGACAGAGTGGTTTCTATGATGCCAAGTATTTCACATCCAACGGTATCATCCCTCCCGCCATCACTGGGTTGCACAACGGCGATGCCTTGCGGGCCTGGTACGAGAACGGCATCACCAACTGTGTTGGTGATAACACTCGCGCGCCGCTCCTCAACCAGCAGAACGGCATGTGGCCTTACTTCACTACATCCGCATCGGATGGATTCGACGGTATGCAGGTGAACCCCCGTTGGGCCACTCGCATCTACTACAACTGCGATACCCCTGCCTGTACCGTTCAGGAATGGATTGACACTTCCGCCGGCAGCGGTGACTTCAGCGACCTGCTCGCGACCGAGAAGGCCGACACCATGCGCCATCTCTTCGGCCTTCATCGCGACCCTTACATGTTCCATCAGGCCAATCTTCGCAATGCCGACGTTGCCCAGGTTGAGATCAACGGCGTGAAGGGCCAATGGTCCATCATGCAAGCGTGGGTTGAAACTATGGTGCAGGAACTCGTGCGTCTGGTAGACTGGCCCATCGTCACCATCACGCACCAGGAGGTAAGTCATGGAGATCGTGGAATCCCTTCTCAAAACCCCCGCAATTGCTAACTAATCGCCCCCAGATGTCTGCCAACTTCCTCGACCGCTACAACCGTGATCAGTGCAACTACTCCCTGCAGTACACCATCGCCAACAAGCAGATTACTGGTGTGACTTTGTCCGCCAAGGACAACACCTGCAGTGCCCCCATCCCCGTCAGCTTCCCTGTCGCCCCCACCGACACCAAGGGCTTCACCACCGAACAGTACGGCAGTGACCCACTCACCGTCTGGGTGCAGCTGTCGGGATCCCCCGTCACCTTCTCCCTCTCGACTCCTATTCCCTTGTAAATGGATTGAGCGATGTTGAATTCTGGAAAGGCTTTGAGAAGGATTCCTGGACGATAATATGTAATGTTATTAATGGGTTTCGTGTAGCGAGTTCAAATAGGGGGAAGAGATGAATGAATATTTGGTACATACATACATACATACATAACTACATGCATGGATGCATACAGACTACGTTGTACCTACACAATCCCGAAAAGAAGGCAGCGTCGCAATGAAAATCCCGTAGATCCTCCCGCCCGCAAAAAGCAAATACGACGCGCACCAAACAGCCCAACAGCAACAACCCAACCGGGGAATTTTACTCCAACCAGGCACCGTCTTACAAAGTGGACTGCTCCGGATAATCCAACAGCAATCATTATGTCTTGTACAGAAATGCCCCTGACTCAGTATCGCCCAACATCCCACCCTCCCCAAATCCGAAGATACACCGACAACAAGGAAAAAGCACCCCTACCTTTCCACAGAGCGTCTCAATCCGCCACATCCATTGAATGACCGGCCTAGAACACCACCGTGACCATTTCCTCCCAATGATTGCTTCTCCCCTCACCTCATCCGTCGAGAGCGGGATGTTCAACGGGAGTGAGACATGGCGGACTTGGCAGCCTCCGTGATTTGATATTCGCGACCAAGGATTTCCCTGTTTTGATCCTTGTCCTCATTAGGGTTTTTAGCGACCTCTAAAATTAGTCTCGTACGTAGTCGCCCCCAAACACAGTCGGGGGGTGGGAATAGTACTATACTTCGGTTAGTACTCTCCGTATCCAATTTATATTAATTAGATTAGCTGTCAAACACGATTTATAAGCATTGATTGGCCGCATTAGTTCCCTCCGCGGATGGTCTGACACCTGACTGGTATCAAAACTGGTTTAACTTGGGCTTGGTCGGGTACTTGCCAACTCCACAACCAACTAGTATTCAAACCTAACCTAATCCGCCCTCTGAAGGAACACAAGGACCAACAATTCATCATTATTGGGTGAGACTTTATCGGGGTTTAACTTTAGGAATGTCATAAGATTGATCTCATCAGTTTTTGAGTCTGTTGAGTCTTGATATCTGTACATTGTACGGTGCGAGAGAAAATATATATATATATATAAATAAAAATAAAAAGAAAGGAAGAAAGGCAAACCAATTCCGATCCCCCCTGTCACGTACATGACACAGCATACACATCCAGACACACAGACACGTATGTACGACGAACTCTATATCTGTGCGTCCTTGACCACTAGACTGGGGACGACTGGGGACTCTATAGCGCCAAGTGTGTCAGTCTTGCATCAAACATGACTCGGAGAATTAATCTCGATCGTATACTTTCAATTCTCGTATTCGAGCCGAGAAGAGGGGGGGGGGGGGGGGCAGGGTCGAGACTGAATCTACTAGAAACCAACACTATAAGCGATAATATGACCTGATCATGTATGGTGAGAGAGAGAAAAGTCGAGTCGAGTCGGGTCATACAGAGGCGAGAGCGGTCTAGGTGTTGGACGTCGGAAGATGCCGTCGCAGCCGGCCATCTTGGCTGTTTCCTTATTTGTTTGAATTATTGGGTCTACAATTCCTTCGAATCGATGTATATCCGACATATGTATGTGCAGCCACGGCGGTATCCTTCCCCCACGCCCACTGCTCCAATAACGGCAATAACTGTGCTGCAGGACAAGCTTTAGCCAACTGCCAGGGTCCAAGGGCTCTGCGCTGGCGGAATATGACTGGTCCAAGGGCGCTGGATTCTTGCAATTCGACCGGCCGACTGCGGAGGGAAACCGGAAGCCTCTCCTCCTAGTCCTCAGATGACAGCTGGATCACGGAATCAAACTCCTCTTGGCACTGTACGGACCACCTGTAAACAGTCTCGGGTAAAAGCGTGCGGTGTCCCCAGAGTCCTCCTAGTCCTAAGACCTAGTAGAAGAGAGGCAACTCCAGTCGATTGGTCGAGAAGAACGCATCGGCCAACACCGTGTTGGGAAAGAAGAAAACAGTCGATGGCCGCGCCACTGAAACGTGGGAGTGGAGAAACAAAGAATAGATTCTCCTTCATTTCGGTAGGTGGAGAACCTTGTCCAGAAATCCCATGGCGAAAACCCGGAGGTCCATCCCATCTTTAGTTTAGTTTAGTACTTCGGGGCCATGTTTGATCTCGTCCGGAACCTTAAAGCCGTCAACTGGATGCTGTGCATTTGTTGCGGCTCGGTTCACTAGTCTCAGGCTAGATTCTATACGAGACGCAAACCATTTCGTATAGATTCGGGGAACCTGAGTCAGGGCGTTGAGGCTTGAAGTGGCTTCAATTCTTGACTATTCATGCATGAAGAAGAGACCTGGTACCCTCCCTGGTATTGAAATTTTGCAAATAAAAGTTACGGGCGGTAGGTACCAGACCGTGTATGCAAAAACCGAAGGGGTAACAAATACCATGCGGCCCACATTAATCGGGACTTAAGGGTTAGTGTCCGTGGATTGACAGTGGATTGATCAGATTCGACTCGGATCCTCACGAGCGCGCTAAAGACTGATTGGCAGAGTTCTAGGCCGGCGGAAAATCGGGAAGAAAAGGAGCCAAAAATCAGTCACACAAAGAAAAAGAAATCTACTGTTTTGGGGGTAATAATGACCATTTGTCCCCTGGTTAGTTAAGCAATTTTTTAGTCAGCGATCCCTATCAATGTTCTTTTTCTGGTCCCTTCTTTTGTGCTAAGGTTTTTTTCTTCTCTGTTGCTGAGGGATGATGGTCATAGCTAATTTCATGCCAAAGTATGGAGACTCAGTGTTGGATTCCATGGCTATGACGGCGGGTAGCTTTTTCTAGACCCAAGTAACAAATTGTTAACAGAACTTAGTCCCCATTAAAAAAAAAAAAAAAGAAAACATTTTCAGGCTGGTGATGTGATTCGAACCTGGACCCCAAACATAATCATGGTTCTCCAGCCCTCCCGCTGACGGCCCTTAGACCCTGAGTCCAGAACCCTTATTGGCGCCTGAGGGTTCAAAGGGAAAAAAGAGGAAGATCACGGAGGCGAAACTGCAATAGTCAGAACGCTAGGCTCCCGGGTTTTCTCATCCTCTCCCTCATTTGCTTGCTCTTCTTTTTTTTAAAGCCATCACTTGTTAGTAAGGTTGCACCGCAGGTGACCTCGAAACAACAGCCACTGTGGCAGAGTCCATTGTTTGGACAGCGACTGCCGCAGTCTGTAAGGCATTCACTTGCCTTTAATTCCAACCCAGGGCAGGCGCTTCTGCATCCGATTCCCCGGATCACCTCAACGCAATCTCTGAACAAGCCACTGGATAGCTTCAGTGTAACCGCCAAAGAGGGATTTCTTTGTTCTCTTCGGGCCTGTCCATTTAATGGTTGCCTGGAACACCTTGATATCTCTACTTTAGAATACGCCACTTCATTTGCTTTATTATCTTATCGTTTGATCTTCATCTCAGGTCCTCTTTATATTTTCCCTGCCGTACCCCCCCCCCCACCTTACGGCTGTGGTTTGTGAAAATCAAACCGCAGGTCGTAACTTTCTTTCTCAGAGTTCCCTTCTTTGAACATTGATTTCTTTAATCGCTCGTTTTATTGAATTTTTTTTTCTTTGTGAAATTGATTACATCATGGCGGGTATTGATGAAGCGCTGCCCTTGAAGGGCAAGGGACAAGCCGCGTCCGGCTGGAAGACTTGGTCCGTCAAGAAGCGCATGCTGATTATCGGCTCTGTCATTCTCGTGATCGCCCTCGCTATTGGTCTAGGAGTTGGTTTGGGAGTTGGTCTGAATAAGGGCGGAGGGGACGACGACGAAGGCGAGGTTCCGCCCACTACCGGAGGAGGCGTGACCACAGCCAAGTGGCAGCCGGCCGTAGGAACGAAATGGCAGATTGAGCTTCTGTACGCGCTCAACGACACTTCCGTAGACGCGGATATCTACGACATTGATCTCTTCAACAATGACAAGTCGACCATCAACGAACTGCAACAGCAAGGCCGCAAAGTGATCTGCTACTTCTCCGCGGGGAGCTACGAGAACTGGAGGCCCGACAAGGACAAGTTCAAGGACTCCGACATGGGCAAGACGCTGGATGGATGGCCAGATGAGAAATGGCTTGACCTCAATTCCAAGAACGTGCGGAGCATCATGACGTCGCGTCTAGATATGGCAGTCGAGAAGGGTTGCGATGGAGTTGACCCGGATAACGTCGACGGCTACGACAATGACAACGGTCTCGATCAGAAGAAGGAGGATTCGGCGAACTTCATGATGTGGCTCGCCAACGAAACGCATGCACGTAATATGTCCATTGGCCTGAAGAATGCCGGGGCGATCATCCCCGCAGTGATCGACAACATGCAGTGGAGTGTGAACGAGCAATGCGCGCAATATGAGGAGTGCGACACCTATGCCGCATTCATCAATAAGAACAAGCCCGTCTTCCACATCGAGTACCCCAAGGGCGACGACACCAACAACAATGACGTGGTCACCACGAGCCAGAAGAACAGTGCTTGCGACTTCGAGGGATCCTCCAACTTTTCGACGGTCATCAAGAACATGAATCTGGACAACTGGATCCAGACCTGCTAGTCGCACAATTGATCAGCATCTAGATACTCTGTTCGATCAGCACAGGCGCCGGGAGTTTGAGATTGGGATTCCACCATCCATCTATATAGTCTGACTACGATGTAACCTGCCTCATCTAATTAACTTTTGACATTCATTTAATTCAAACGTCAATGCTTGACGCTACCGATCTAAACATTCCACGTGATATATATAACCTATCCGACGTACTTCGCGACCGTAGTTTAAGCACCATCACAGCCAATAAGTCTCCCTCATATATATTAGCTCGTGTGAGACCTGCCGTGACTCTCAACCCACTCCCACCAGCCGACTTTATAAAAATAACTCCCCACGGTTACAAAGCAAATGAGATCATCCTCTACCCAAAACACCAAGGAAACCAAAGTATGACAAAAATAAACACACCCAACTCCCGACCCCCATACTGAATCACTCCGTACTACTTACTACTCTACTACGACTCAACCACCTTCTTACCGTGCCGCTCCAACCGGTCATACTAAACCAGCTTGGAACACCGAACAAAAAAAGAGAGACTTTGTGAAAAGACGGTCAACAGGATCCGAGGTCTTCCGCCCCCCCCCCCGTCCCTCCCCCCCAATCCACCTCGAACCAGGACCCAGTTGAACCTACTATGGAGATCGTCGGACACTCCCCAAATAGGCGATCCAAAGTCTACGTACCTGGAAACAAAGGTCCTCCCAGAGCAGCCCGATCATCTCGGCTATCAGATCAGGTCCATCTTCCGTCGGGACAGCCCGATTTAACTTGGAAAGATCAACATCCGACCGAAAGCCGAACAGCACGTAGTGGTAAAAAGCAGGGACCAAGGGACCCAGGTGGAGAGCGAGGCGGAGGGGGGCCGTCTCTCCGAACTAGTAGAGACAATGAGACCAGAAGAATGGGTAGGTACTCCGTAGAAGGGGGAAGGAAAAACAAAAAACCAAGAAGAACCCAAGATACGACATCGATGTGACCCAAGATCTTGCCAGATCAGAAGAGTGGGTCCACACTACCTTGCTCCTCTTTTTTGGGTTTTGTTTGTGTTGAGTTGTGTGATTTTTTTTTGCCACGAAAAAAAGCGGAACCGGACCAGACTTTCTGAAACGAAGACAGAGAGCGAAGTCCCAAGGGAATGGGTGGGCATGGAAAGGGGAGTGATAGGCTTCCATGGCTCTTCCATGGATTCTGTGAAGCTGCAACATCCGGGAAACTCAGACGTTCGACCAGAGAGCCACATGGCCGGTGTACCGGGCCGGCCTGAATTAGACCAGGCAGCGCAAGGATCATAATACCACCTACTATTTGACCAAAAGGGCTTGTTCATTATTGTTACATACATATTGCAGGGGTTGTCGGCGGAAGGGTGTTTGTTGTGGTATTGGACCTGGAGACGGCCACACGAACCCCGACTAGACTCAACTACTACTACTACTTCCCCGTACACTGGAAGCGAATCGCCAGGACCAAGATTTGGAGCCTTTTTTTTTTGCCTGCTCCCGTGCCTATTCTTAGGTGATTCGCGCGGACTGGCCTGGTTTCATGTGATTTTAGCTTCGTTTGGGGCAGGATTGGTGTGTTTGATCGCGAGTGGGTGGGTTCGTTCGGTACTGGAGGTCTTTGGGGTTCCCTCCGTAGGTCAACTTCTGGTTCAACTTAGTCGGTTTAGACTATTTTTGCCTAGTGGCTTAGTGTGGTTGAGCCAGGCACTAGCCACTCCCACTCTACAGATTAGGTGCCGTGGGATGTTACCCGACCAATCAGGCAGGTATTGGTATGTATGGTATTGTATTAATGTGATTGAAAATGACCACCGGTACTGTCGGTATTGCCGCCGTGTAATTTAAAATGGTGTCATTGATACCGACAATACGCAGGAGTACTTTTGAAGGGAGTGGGGGGTATATTTGAATCAGCGCTTAGATCCCGCCGATTAAATGTAAAATACGACACTCCCCCCAACTTCTGCAGTACCTCTTCAGATATAGTGGTCTGGCAGCGACAGGAAGTGCCAGAGAAGTCTTCCAAAATTAGAAAACGACACGGCAGTGAAACATACAGTTTAGTTCGGTCAGAAATGAAGCAGTGTCACCATCCTTGGTCCGGTGAGCCACTTCTAGTATGTACCATCGGATGCGACTAGACGATGTCCTCAGCACTATTCGATATGCATAATGCATAGACTAAGAACTAGGGTGCTAGTGAGTGAGTTAGTCCCAACCAAAGAACTACAGAAGTCCACTCGATGGAGCACAATCGATAGACCTCGGAGCTAGGTACTAAGCGGCGCGTGTCGAGAAAATCACCCATCACTGGCACATCCACGACTAAAAGTGATCTGATCGGACGAAGATAAAGTTTCGGCGGACCGAAGCCAAAGAATGTACTCAAGTGGTTCCCAGCGGAAGTTCCTGGATGCTGTCTTGCTGAGAACCATGGATGTGCGGTGGGTGGGTCAGGCACGGCTCCATCACCAGCGCTAGAGGGAAGAAAAGGCTCCAGTTGCTGAAAAGTTAGAACAGCCGCAAGCGACCAGAAGGGGAAATCGAAAAAGGAGTTCATTTTTCTTCAGCGTGCTTGGAAGCGAGGGCTGTGATTTCAAATTCCCATTTTGGCTGGCGTCTTGGCGATCACTTGCTCGTTGGTCCGGAATGGTCGGCAGAGCGCGGGTGGGTAAGAGTTTGACCGCTCTCTGCCTCTCATCAATGGTTCGGTTAACTGGTTCTGCAGCCGTCCAGTTCGTGTTGTGTTGCTAGGGGATTTTGGTTCTCGGCAGATCAGGTACACTACCAAGGACCAAGGTACCTTTTTTTTTTTTTTTTTTGTGATCTTTGGTTGGATTACCAAGAAGACCGAGGCTTTTTTTTTTTTTTTTTTTTTGTTTTTTTTGTTGTCATCTTTCCCAACGGGGAAGTGAGTGAGGCTGGTGTCCCCGGAGGCTTGAACCACTGGCGTCATCCACCACCATGATGTCGCTCGGTGGTACGAACGAGAAAGAACATGTTCGAAGCTTGGTTACATCTCGTCAGGAGCTCAGCCCCTCATGATATCATTATTACTCCGGATCCCAATACCTGAGCGTCAAATAGTCCCTGACTTTTATACTCAGTATGACATAACTCAATTCCACCGGACAAAAGTTATCAGTCGTGGTCTTTATTACTCCGGAATGCAACATTAAATCTACGATCGGGTTATAATCTGACAGGTTATGTACATACATCCAGTAATCCCGCTGACGATGGGGGCGTGCTCGTGAGATGGCGTCGAATCTCAATGAACCTGATGTGTTGTCATCGGATCCAGTCTATAGATCACTAGGCAGCACATGGCGTCAAAAAAAAAAATAAAAAAAAGGAAAAAAAAAAAGGAAATAAAATAAAATAATAAAGAATAATACAAGAAAAGAATCAGTGACCTAATCCTTCCTTACCGCAGAACAAAAAGCACACCCAACCAGACTAAGATGCATGTCTTACTAAACAGCAGACCCGGCCATGCATGATTAGACAGGTTCCTAAATCGACGTAGCGACACGGAATAGCATGACCGAGGGAACAGCCCATCCGTCCAATACCGATTGTATATGTTTTAGGCGCAACCCGTGGGACAAATGCACCGGACAGGCTAAGTGCAGCTCCCAAGACGGACTACTACATTCGGGTGTCCGAACTGCATCCTATCTTGGGTCATATCGCATAGTTTGATGTGATAACTTGTCTCCATAGATGAGATGGCCGTGCACATCGCCTCTCCAGTAGCTTCAACTTGGTCGACGAAACTGGAAAGCCGGTGGACTTCCTCGACCCCTCCACCCGACTAGGAGGCAGATCCTCTCGCTCATAGGGTATTTGCGGCCTCTCCATAGATGGTTCACTGGCCCAAATTCACTCGCCCGCTCATGAAACCGACTGTGTCACACTTGTTGCAGCCGGCCACATCAAGCACGGGGCTGCCCTTACTGTACTGCTTCTATTTCTAGTTCCCTGGGGTTTCACAGCCCGACCTCATGATGCACACACTAAGGGGTGGTGTTCATAAGAGAGCGAACGACATAGGTAATGATAATGTAATGTATACTTAGCTGCATTGACTAGAATGCAGGTGCAGTGAGGTGAACCTGGCTCGAATTATGACCAACATGAACTGACGGGGACTCCGCTGTTTCTCGGAAGCGGACCTTGACCGAGTCTCTTGGCCTTAGGGCTCAGGATACGTATCAACTGTGGCTGACGAAAATTACCTCGTCCGCGGTACAAAGTACCATGACAATACGTTACCATCCGGGGGGAAGTTTCGAGCGCGGGAAACCGAGAGACAACCAACAAAAAGGGAATCTTGACGATCGTAAACTCTATCGCATTTCTAGGTATCATTTGATAGTCACAACGGCCCAAAGTCAATTAACATATTTCCAGTAGAATCATCATACAGGATATAGACGTTCATACAGTATAACTATAGACAGGTCGTAAGTTGATTAGTCAATCCTTTCCATCAGACAAAAGAGAGCGCCGGCGCATATATTATCAGTCAACACCAATCGAGCCCTGATCATAAGCAATGTTGCATCAGCTATGCTCGAAAAGCGCCGCCCGTAGGAATTATTTAGCCATCCAATCGACAAATTCGCCCCACTTGCCCCCGAAGCTGGCATAGTAATCCGTGCTCAGGTGGGTAATGAAAACCTCATCAGCGGTCTTGCGAAGCTTCTTGACTAGATCACGAAGGCTCGAACCTTCAACCCCGTCCGGAACGGAGTGGATCACAATGCAGAGCTGACCGCGATCACGATCACTCTTCGGAAGAACGTCGAACTGCTTCGTGCCATCGCGCTCGTTGAAGGTGTCATAAGCCTCTTCGAATACGACAGTCGAGTCAGCGGAAGACATGTAACGAGAGTCTGGAACTCCTCCCGGATTATGGACGATCTAGACAGTCACTATTAGCACCAAAATTGACCAAATGTACCCAATGAGATTGTCGGGGTTGTAGTTAGAAACCGTAAGAGAACCTAGCGCCATCAAAGACAGACATGGGCCATATTGACTGTCCGAGAGGCAAAAACCAAAAAAAAAAACAAAAACAAAACAAAAAGTAAAAAAAAAAAGAAAAGAAAAGAAAAGAAAAAAGAATGCAGAGAGAGTGGGGGGTGGGAATACGGGGCATGAGGTACACCAATGCTCGATGTCGAAAAAGTGATACCCATGTAAATTACCATGAATACGGGGCGGTAATAAAAATTACAGAGGGGTGACACATACATAGTTGTCTGGACCAAGACCAGAAAGGCCTTTCACGAATGAGGTGAGCCCTTGCAAATATGACAACGCATCGGCATCATACTGTTGGGGCGTTTCGTCAAAGAATATACCCCGAACCGCGAGCTTAGGGTTCGAACTGTTGGTCGGCCACTCTGCGTAGGTTTCGATGTCGCGACGCACGGCCGAGATGTTGCGTTTAGCCCAGGTTGTAGGGACATAGCCCAAGAGACGCACGTTGTCATAAGAGGCGAGCTTGGGAATCTCCCGCGTATAATTGGCATCGGGCAGGGCATCGGGCCCTGGGCCGCTGGCAGGGTTAATCACAACGGTAAAGTTGGCCTCCGGATGTGAAGAGATCCTGTGGCGCTTAGTTACTTTTCCCCAAAATTATAGCTTACCACTTGCATGCATCATGCAATTGGCTTGCTTATGGTGTATATATCTCATGGACCAGAACATCTCGGCCTTTGAGGGGGGAAGGGTAGTGGGGATGGAATTGAAGGTAAGAATTAGAAATACAAATAACTTTTTTGAAAAAGGAAAGAAAAAGAAAGGGAAAAAAAAAAAGGGACATACTCTGCTTCCAATGGATCCCAGGCGCCAGGGGCAGGGTACACGTAGAGAGGGACAAAGATGTTAGCTTTAGGGCCCATGCTGTTCTTCTTGCGTAGGGTGACCACGACTGCCGGAGGTATAACGACCGCGAGAATAGCAATAAAAACAAAGACCCCCAAAATGATTCGAGAACGTCGGCTTTGCAGACAGCGACGACCGCTCACGTGTTTGTCTGGCCCCATCGTTGCCAGGTTAGGGAGGCAATTAAATGCGAATGCCTTAGTCTGCAACGAAAGAGGGCAAGAGAGTGGATTGCTGAGTCCTGGGTGGAAATATGCTAGAACCAGGCGCCGGAGGACTAAGAAATAAGTAGTCAGCTCTCGAAACCTAGCGTTCAGCCTTTGCCTTAGTGGTGGACCTCCTGGTGAACCAGAAAAATACACGCCGGCGGGCCCAAAATAGAGCGGGGCAGGTCTCTTTTCTGACCATGCAGCAGTAGGTCTCGGATCATTCAGTGTCGATGTCGAACAATTTCTTTCTCCCTGGCTTAAAACACATCCATTAAAGTCCTAGCCGTGGTTTTTCCCAACCTTGTGGAGTGCGGCTAGAAGTTCGCAGGCCACTTCGCAGGCTACTTTCCCTTCTGCCCCATCTGAGGCGAACTTTGTTCGAAAATCACCTCTTGGATCTGGACTGCTTTTCCATGCCAAAGAGCTGACGTCCTGGGATTATTTTCTTTTTTTTTCCTCTTTTTCTTTTTCTTTTTTCTTTTTCCCCCCTTCTTTCCCTTTTTTCTTATTTTTTAAAATAATTCTTTTTTGTCCTTTCTTTTCTTTTTTCCCAAAAAAAAGGATAGACCAAAGAAATAATATTGGTATATCCACTTCTTTTTTTATTATCCATCTTGTATCCATTCGCTTGCGATGTCCTTCGTTCATTGTAAATAAAAAACCAGGATAAAAAAAAAGAAAAAAGAAAAGAAGAGAAAAGAAAAAAAAAAACCCCCCGTCACGATATCTTTTGCCTGACCTGAGCTGGAAGCGGCGGTTACATCGGCGAACCAGTGGCAGTGTCTCTTCTTCCATTCAAGGAAGTATAAGATTTGTGCTTTCCTTTCTTTCTTTGACTATTCGGTTCGGAAATCAACTCACACTCGTTGTTTCTCCTCTGAGCAACACTCAATCCTCCTCTCGTTTACTCCGATAGTTGCTTGTGTTTGCTCGAACATCGTCTGCTTGCTTCTCATCTTTCATTCACCTTTCATTGCACTTCGTCTTTTCATAAAAAATCATCCAATAATGGAGAGCCCTCGACCGTCTGACGCAAGTACTCCCTTGGAGCCTTATTCTCCAGGATGCGTTGATACACCGGCGACGCAGTCATCCGTCTTGTTCGATGGAAATCTTGAAGAGCTGCTGCGCAACTTCCCCCTGGATCAATACATTCTCGTCACCGGCGGTCTCGGTTTCATTGGAAGTCACACAACATTGGAGCTACTCAAGGCCAATTATAACGTAATAGTCATCGACAACCTTAGCAATGCTTTCCTGAACGTCTTCGATCGCATCAAAACCCTGGCTTCGAAGTACCATGAGCAACAAGGAACTAAAATGCCCGAGATGCATCTGCATGCCCATGATTACCGCGACAGCGTTGCTCTTCGCAAGCTTCTTGAGCAATATCAGATCCAGTCCAGATGGGGTACACCAAAGACCAAGATCTCCGGCGTCATCCACTTTGCTGCCCACAAGGCGGTTGAGGAGAGTATCAAGAATCCTCTGAAGTACTACGCAAACAATGTCAGCGGTCTCATCGACTTTGCCACGACGTTGGGTGAGTTTGGTATCAAGACCTTCGTCTTCTCGTCGTCCGCCACCGTATACGGAACTCTGGCAACCTCCGGCCTTCCCCTCAAGGAGGAGCTTTGTGTCCACAAGGATGAGATCTTCCAAGATCGCGACGGGTCCGAGAAACTCATGGAACCAGGGTGCACAGGCATCACAAACCCCTATGGACGCACGAAATGGATCTGTGAAGCTATCTTAGCAGACCTCGCGGCCTCCGATCCAGAGTGGACAATCGTGGCTCTACGATACTTCAACCCGGTAGGATGCGATGAATCTGGCCTTCTCGGTGAAGATCCGAAGCAAATACCTACCAACCTTCTTCCAGTTGTCGTCAAGGTCATGACTGGGCAGTACAAGGAGCTGCAGATGTTTGGAACCGACTGGGACACGGAAGATGGCACGGCTGTCCGTGACTTCATCCACGTCACGGATCTGGCTCGGGGACATATCGCAGCCCTCAGTGCTGCCAACGAAGGAAAGCTCAAGGAAAATTTCCGCACATTCAACCTCGGAACCGGCACAGGCCATTCCGTAATGGAAGTGGTAAACACTATGGAGAGCGTGTCTTCTAAGGAAATCCCAAGAAGGGCTGCTGACCGCCGCGCGGGCGATGTCGGTTCCTGTGTTGCTGTGGCCACCAGATCAGAGGAGGAGCTGCAGTGGAAGACCGAGAAGACACTGACTGATGCCTGTGCCAGTCTGTGCAATTTCCTAGCTGTCAGTGGACTGTCCTCTTAGGCCCCTGATCTCCTTTCACCTCATTAATCTTTTTCCTTTTTTTTTCTCTCTCTCTCCTTTTAATTGCTCTCTTTCTGTCATAGGGTGGCGCTTAGCGGTGTACTTTTCGTCTTCCTTCTTGTTTTCCCCCTTTCCCATCCCTTGATAATGCCTCTTTCTTTTCATATTGAAAACATGCCGGCAACGTTGGTTCTTCTCTTTTTTTTTTCGCATGATAGAAGGGAACTTCTTTATAAGGCATTCACAATGCAGCCTGTATCTAATATCGGTGTAGGATAAGTTTATTCTCTGACTTCATGTTGCAAAGATTTTGAAGACTGATATCAGGAACAGCGAACACCTGTCTCTTTTATAATAGTTAATTCTCAATCACAAAAATCTTGCCATGTTTCCCAATTGCCTGATTCCGGAGCGGTAGCTCTAATCAGAACCTATATCGAACCACAAGTGCATTGGCATAGTAGTACCAGTAATCATCCTGAGTGCTATGCTTTCTAGGCATGTCAGTAACCAAATGAGCAAAGAAAGGAGCCTCGTTGCCTGCACTCTGCATTTTGGGGGGGTGGAGGGAGAGGGGACAATTAAATGCTTTCGTGAACTGTGCTCCGGTCAGCTTAGTCATGCCATTCAGATCATCTATTTCCAACCCCTCCACCGCAGATCACAATGCAATACCGACATTCCAACCAGGATTAATTCCTCCACCTGCAACAGGGGAAAACCAATCATCATAGTACAGGAGAATTTCGAATTTGTTGGCAAGGCAGATCGACAGGGTTCACGAAACGAGGCCCGCATCGTCTCACTCTTGGGGCTTACCCGAAGCAAGAAACTCTGAATAAGGGTAGAGATCGGCATCACAACCGCTAACTGCTTCTTCTCTTCTAACCTAACGGGCCGCATTGAGATATACCGCACCTCTTTAATACCAGGCTGAACTCGACCCCCATGTATCAGCGCTGCCAAATGCGAAGAGCATCTGATGAACCTGCAATACATATCGCCGACTGTCGGTTGGTTCCCAGACGGTTCGTGAGGATCTAGAAGATAAGGAAAAGTCTAATATACCTTAGTCTTGCATGGCTATCTGATATTTCAAGCTTGATCTGATAGCTTGTTTAAGCCCCATTCGCCATATTATGATTATATCTTTTGTGCTTGAGAATCCTTATCGTGCCAGAGGGCCTATCATCCTCGAGCCACCATTGGCTCGGCACTGTATTGTATATACCGTACGATTTAAAATCAGTATTCGACAAATAGATAGTGTGTAGCTATTGCTTCTATCGTCAGCTATTCTTTCCACTTTAAAGCCTCTCAATTCTAGGCGGTGCATCGGTGTTAAGAGACATCTTTGTAACTATATATATTTGGCACGCGTGGCTTGACGAACTTATCAACCTAAACCTATTCAGTTGAATTACTCACTCCAACCCCCCCCGACAATCCTCGACGAAGGTACTATAATATGACAGGTGGCATATTCCAACAGCACCCTCTAAGTGTGTTGGTACATACCATGTTGTGTGCGGCCGAAGTCGATGTAAAATGGATATACTATAAACAAGCATGGTGAAGAAGATCCGACAAACTAGGAGAGCAGAGAACCTATAGAATCATAGTATACTAGTGTGCACCTTTAGATTGACCGGTGGCATTTTTACTACGGGTCACTAAGTGATTCTGCTCTGACTTATCAGGTGCTAGTCAAGGATCCATAATGTACTGCAAACAGAACGAATAACAACATCTACGGAATGAGTACTGTTATGTTGACCTAAAGTTCCCCTCCCGCTCCCCTCCGCCTGAAAAAATAACAATGATATACGTAATAAAGGTGAAGATACCCTGAATTTAATCGAGTGACTTCATCAGTTTAACATTGCTGAAGTCTTGAATGCCTCTTGTATCTTTTCACGTCTGATTGGACACATCCCGATGTTTATATCACGTGATAACCACTAACGAATCTGCAAATTCCCTATTTGTCCATCGTCTAGAATGTAAGCAACTACATATGACCAATTTACTTCCTTACAAACAGCAGCTATCTCTCATATACACCATGATAAGAATAATAATGTATACCCCGGCGTTACTCAAAAGGCCATTGCCCAGTATGCACGATCATGTGACCATGACCACCGGCTTGGCATCAAATTCATCCCGCAGTTTTCTTGTAGCTTGCTCCGTGCCAGGCAGTTCCCTTTTATTATCATCACTCAGCGGGCTTCTGGACACAACACGGTGTTGGAAAGGCTAATTGATTTTATCCTGTCATTTTAAATTTGAATACCTTTCCGGAACACCGCTATAATGATCTGCCAGCGCTGCCGAACCAGCCTCTTTTCCCGGCTGCAACCGCAACACGCGGTTACTTTCTCTGCTTCGTCATGCGCACGCCAGCTTCCAATTCACCGAAGCCAATTCCGGAGCTACAGTGATGGCAAGCCTACAGTATCCGCTACGCCGCCTCCTCCTACGCCCCGCCAGCCTGTCGCAGCGGACATTACGATCCCGTCGGCAGTTTCATCAGCGACTCCCGGCGTGTCCCAACCATTCAGCACACCGGAAGAATTAAATGTTGATGTGTCTTCTAAGAAGCCCACAAAACCTGCTGTGGAACGTCCACCAAGCTCCTGCACCGCTGGAACGAAGCTGAACGGTCTCAACTACTTCAAGAATAAACCTGATGTCCTCGCCCTGGAAGACTCTGAATACCCGGAGTGGCTGTGGTCATTGTTAGATGATGCTAAGAAACAATCGAAATCCGAAGGCGGAGTGGATCCGAGCAGTATGTTTATCTTGCTTTATCAGTAGGCCTTGGCCCATGCTAACTGTGCCCTTTCTAGCCTTGAACAAGAAGCAACGCAAGCGCTATGAGAAGAAGATGGCTGCTCGCGCCGCAACCCTCCCTCCTAAGATCCCTGTTCATCATCATGCTACTGATATTACCCCTGCATCGTACAACCGCGGCGGTCAAGCAGCGGATGATCTTTTGGTTGAGGCCGCTGAGAGTCTTGACAAGCGCTCCGAGATCACGAAGAGCGCGAGAGAGGCCCGGAGGAAGGCCATTAGAGAGGCTAACTTCCTCCGCGGCCTGTGATTTTAGGAAGGTTTGGCTTGGTGCCGGTTTGTCCCATTCTATGGTGTTTTTAACAGGCTGATCCATGTACAATTGTGTTGACTGATTTTGATGTAGAACGGCCCGCTTGGGATATTTCAGATGTATTTTATGGAACTTTGTACTCATCTTTCTTATAATTCCCTGGCAAGGCGCTGAATGAAGTTTACTGTTTTATCTGTGGGATTGCTCAATTGCTATATACTGAACACTGCGAATAGCCAACTCGCGCATGCTTGAAGTCTGGAAGCAGAGATTCCCATCCAATTGACTGATGAATCCTAACCAAGTCATTTAGGGATATCCCACTCCTTGGTTTCGCCTTGACCTTCCACCCATGGCAAACAAGCATCAAAGAGCGCCTTCACTTCGCCCTCTCCGATGCTCACCAGTCCTTGGAAAAGCGGATCATGGGCCTTCTCGACCCAAGCCAAGAAAGAGACGATCAGAATATCCGCGTACCCTGGATTCTCACCCTCAAGGAAAGGCCCCTTCTTCCCAGGCCGGCCTCTTAGCATTCGCGCGACAGGTTCCATCTCTTCCCTCGCTGCTTTGATTATCTCCTGTACCTCGCCCTCTTCCTTGGGATATACCTCCGGCAGATGCTTTCCGAACATAACAGATCGAGTCCTGGTAAAGTATTCCTGGCCCCGGGGGTCAAGCAGACCGGCGACCCTAGGAATCAAAACGGCTACACCTTTTTCGGTGACGCTACCAAGGAGCTTGATCATCGCGAGCGTGAGCGCATAACTGGCATCACCCGAGGGAAATAGAGGTGGTGAGGGAAAGGTCTGGTCCAGATGCGTGGCGATAGCAAGGGAGTCCTGCATCGCACCGTAGGCGTTCGAATTGATAGAGGGCTTGTGCAGAATGGCAGGGAGGGTATACTGAGCCCCCGAGGCGTGAGGGGTAACGCCGTAATGGGAAAGCAAAGGAGCAATGTCCGGATAAGAAATGTAAGACTGTGTGTAGGGAATGCCCTTAAAGTTCAAGACCATGCGGGTCTTGAAGGTATTAACGGACCATGCCTTTGCCGGCCCTGGGGACAGCGCGTTCGTCAGTAGTCAGGACGCCACCATAGGTGCTTGCCGTCGGAAAGACGGTAAAGAACGACAGACATACCGGGAATAGTTGAAGTAATATCAAAAAGGTGAACGGGAGTGTTGGTGGCCATGATGGTTTTTTGGTCAAGATGCAGCGCAGGTAGAGCTGCTGTAAAGATGGAGTGGGAATATTCTCTATTCTGGTGGAGGGAGGGGCTGTCTCGCTTTATGCTTATATAACTTTAACTTTCCAGAGCCGACCTTGTTGGGAGCTTTACTAGTATTGTGAAGATGGATCCTGTCTGGATATTATGGGCTTGTTGTATACAACTCCAGTCTCCTATTGGTGCATCCGGTAAAAACTGGCGAATAAGCGGATTGTAGTGGAGTACTATGAAGCGTCCGGTCAGTCGTCCTCGTATCTCACTCTTGAACTGGGCATGGTTGGTACGGTTTAGTATATTGTCCGTGTATCTCTTGCACTAAAACTATCTAACAATGGATACTTGGGGAGGTTGAATTCCACGACACCTTAGGCTGCCATCCCGGCTGCTGCTATTGATCTGGAGGGGGAAAACAAAAGATGGGGGGTCAAGTGACTCATCTGACTTTCTCGAAAAAAAAAGACGGTGATTTAGAGTTCCAACGACCACGAGGACTTTCGATCTAAATTCTAAACCCACACAACCAAACGAGCAATTGTCTTCCTTCCCTTCCCCCCTTCCATATGATAATATGATATGTCATGTTTGTCGGCATCCTGACTTGAGTTGTTGTCGTGGCTGTCCTGCACCACAAGAAATGGCGGTCTCTAGGCAACAGCCCGCCTTACGATGTGCTCCAGAAGGCTGAAGGGAGGTAGCATAGCCTTGGATCCAGATTGGATATCAGATCAGATCGTCATGGGGGGATTGCGTATCGGCTGATCAGCAAACAAAACCCAAAACAGCCCAAGTGGAGTGGACCAGAAAAGCAATGGCCAGAACTCCGCCAACTCAACACTTGTTCTTTCCGTCTTTGTCTCTTTTCTGTCCACCCCGTTTGATATATACATGTTTCGCCCTTCCCCTTTCCCTTCATCCATACTCCTTTTCTTTTTGTCTTAACTTACAGTCCCTTAGCTTTGTCTACTTCAGGGATACACCGTATAGCATTATATCTTTCCATCGTTCTCCCGACTTGGCGGTAACGCGGCGTGGCGTCTCGTACATCCGCGACAAGGGAACAAAAGAAAAAAAAGGGGGGGGGAGAAGAAGACATCTACGTCATTTGTACTCCATCATCAGCCATTGCGTTGCATCTAAGGCTCGTGTCTACGGCACCGTGTCCTTGCCTAACCAATCGACTTAATTGAGGGAAAATGAACGACCTCACTGATCGTACTGATCAAATCACGCTCGATGACTCGTCGAAGTGCCTAGAGTCAAAATGCTCACTGGACTTTGCACCTTTTGTTGCGTCTCACCTGGAGGTGATTTACAGCTCGTTAAAATCCTTGCCCGGGGTCGATTTCCTCCGGGACATCCAACATGAGACTCCTAATGACGACAGTAACAATGGGGCTGTAGACCCCCTCGCTTCCTTAGCGGCGCTTCGGGAGTATATGGCCAGTTCAGCCTCTTCGGCATCGGGACCTGTCAAGCAGCAGAGATATTCAGCACCCATTAGTGACTATTTCATCTCTTCGAGCCATAACACTTACTTGACTGGGAACCAATTGTACAGCGATTCAGACGCGAGTGCTTATACAAACGTATGTATTTCCCCTAGTATTCCATAGTGAATATTCCTACAAATCCCCTACTATCGAAGCGCATTATGGCCCATGGAGTACCAACTGTTGGGTTCCTATGAGGATGGTTCCTTTAGTAGAGTGTAACCATGCACTTCCGTGCCCTGTGCATCAGACACCAGCATCAACCCTAATGCAGAACTTTCTGTCTAGGCGGCAATAACTGATGGTATTTTAGGTCCTTCTGAATGGATGTAGATGTGTCGAGATCGACGTATGGGATGGCGAGCGAAGCTCCGAATGCCCATCTGCTGATGACACGAGCAGTAGTAGTAGCGATTCAAGCTCTGAGAGAAAGATAAAGGACGAGTCAAAAAGGGAAAGGCTCAAGAGTATGGCCAAACGACACGCACGCTTGGGATCCATATCAACCAAACTAGGGGGTATCCTAGGCCGCAAGTCGTCTTCTGAGGACGTGCCTCTCGACAGCAGTGCCCCAGTGGATCCTGCGATTGAGACCCCGCCACTCCCAGAGCCCAAGGTGCTTCATGGCCACACGCTTACCAAAGAGACTACATTTCGAGATGTGTGTTATGCCATCCGGGATAGTGCTTTTGTTACAAGTGATCTACCGGTGATTGTTAGTCTGGAAGTGCATGCATCTCTGGAACAACAACAGGCGATGGTGGAGATCATGGAAGAGGCTTGGAAAGGGATGCTGGTGGAAGTCACACCCGAAAAGGAGGCGACTGATCCTCTGCCGGCACCGGAGGACCTAAAACGAAAGATCCTGATTAAAGTGAAATACGTGGCACCGACGAGTGAAGACAAAAAGGAGGAGACGCCAGAAGGCAATGGCGACGAGCTCGAAGCACTCAAGCAACATGCCAACCAAGGTGACTCGAGTAGCACTGCCGACAAGCCATCTGATGTACCCCCAAAGAAACCATCAAAGATCTTAGAAGCTCTCAGCAGACTGGCTATATTCACCAAAGGGTTCCACTTCAGTCACTTTGAACAACCAGGTAACTACTCTGATTGTATCTACCCGAACCTAAGAAAGACTGTTCTTTAACTATATGTGTAACAGAGGCCAAAGTACCCGGGCACGTGTTTTCGCTATCAGAAAGTGCGGCCAGAGCAGCGCATGCGAAAGATCCTGAAGCCCTGTTTGAACACAATCGCAAGCATTTCATGCGGATTTACCCATATGGTCTGCGGGTGAATTCCTCGAATCTCGACCCCAGCTTCTTTTGGCGCCGTGGCGCGCAGGTGGTGGCATTGAACTGGCAGAACCTCGACAAAGGAATGATGCTTAACAGCGCCATGTTCGCCGATGAGCAAGGTTGGGTACTCAAACCGCAAGGATATCTAAGTTCCGATGCACCCTCTACCATCGTGCGTCGCCAGCTAGACCTCTCGATAGAGTTTCTCGCCGGCCAGAACATCCCCTTGCCTCCAGGAAACACCAACGAGAAGCGTTTTCACCCCTACGTGGTCTGCGACTTGCATATTGAGACGCCTGAGGACACCACTTCGCCTCACGTGGAAGACGAGGGTGAGTCAGAGGTCGAGAGCTACAAACAAACGATCAAAAGTGCCTCGGGAGCCAGTCCAAACTTTGAAGGCCAAATGGTTCAGTTTCCGACCCTATCTGGGCTAGTTGAAGAGTTATCTTTTGTCCGGTATGTATTTCTTCTTGGCGGCAGTTGCCTTCCGATCCCTCAAGTGGTGATCCCAAGCCTGCAAGCAAGGTACGGAAGAAGCTAACGACCCCACAGATTCAAAATTAAAGACGATGAATTCGGACGAGACTCGACGGCCGCCTGGGCTTGTATTAAATTAGACCGCCTCCAAGAAGGCTACCGGCTAATCCACCTGCACGACTGTTCGGGAGCAAAAACCGACGGCGTCCTGCTGGTTCGTATTATCAAACGGGTCACCTAGTTTGTTTGTGTTGGACGTTCTAAAGTCACCTGAGTGGTAAATAAAATAAAATAAAATTGAGAGGAGACACTGAAGAAGCAAACAACCAGGGATGAACTGGATGAAAAAAGAAACGATGATTGAAAGTCGACATTGCAGATAAGCCGGGCAGAACGCCAACGCATATGCAGTTGATCTCTTAACTCGGTGAATTCGTACGTCTGTGCGTCTTTTTATCTGTTTATCATGGATCCCACTTTCAATTGCAGCTGGTCGGCATCAAAATAATACACATGTCCCCCAAGAAGATCAATCGCCTCCCTTGGTTAGCCAGCCAGCCACCAAACCGGTTATTTTGGAATAATGATACCAGCCTAGCACACTATACCTCATAGACTCATCTAAATCCTAGATTTTGGCGCGAAAACGACTCGGTTATTCGGTTTAATATACGACTACAGATCTGGTTAACACCGGTTTGTAGAACAGGGGGGATACTAGTCTCGGTTGGAAGTTGAGGCCATGCCCACTTCCAAGGTTCCAACGTAAACCACAGTACCGGAGACAGGGTAGATTCCAAATCACGATAGACAGCTGCCAAATTAGATTTAGGTTATGTATCTACGGATAGGTCATGCGTGATGGATCTCCATAGGCTTGAACGCAGTATTGGAATGGGGATGGAGGGGGCATCCCCACTCGAGGGCCGAAACCTGGGTCTTTGGACATGTACAGAGTACGGAGTATGTCAGAATGCCTTTTCCATCGCAGAAAACAATCCACATGACGTAATAATTAATATGCAGATTTCGCCGTTCTTGTGTTACGAATGGAGATAAGGGGTCGAAAGCAAGGAGTAAGAAAATGAAGAAAATCAACCAAAAAAAAATGTTGTTCGAAAGTGAGAAAGGAAGACACAAGAAAAAGAAAGGAGGGGTAACAAGAAAAGGCAAGAGGAGCCGGAACCGTTCTGATTTGATAGACGATCACCCGAAATTACTCGGACTCGACCTGTCAATTTGGATCAATATCAATAGGAAGAAGCTGTCTCTGAAGCGGGCTTCCTTGGCGCTGGGGACCACACTAGTCTGACGCAAGCCAGCTAGTTCGAGAATTGCTTTTCGGGTATTGCCATTGCCAGTCGTGGCTCTCATCGTCACCAACCGTTAACAAACGGTGAGGGACCTCGAAAGTGACAGAAGCCAAGAGTAGTACCAACTGGCGACGCTTTGTGACATCAAGCAGCCACCTGCAAGATATCGGAGAATAAGTGCTGGCAAGCCCAGGACAGCTCGCAGATTATGACCAAAAACCTACAGGGAAAAACCCTGAGGAGGGACCATTTTCTATGTATCCAATTCTGGGTTAATCATTAACCAATATGTGAGAAATACACCAAGCAACCTGAGAGGTGGGGCCAAGATACTGATAGAGTTCAGTTTCGCAACCCAGCTCAACCCAGACAGGCGGCAGTCTGCAGGTGGCTGAGGTGACTGAACCTAAGAAGGGAAAAGGGAAAAGGGGTTCTAAAGGTGTATTCCATTGTTGAAGCAACCCGTACCCGAAGCGCCGGCACTGATCTGCGCAGAAACTTGTCAAGGGTGCCACTGGCCGCGATCCTGCTATTGGTTCATTTTGATTGAGACTGCATATCCTGTGAAGCACCATGTTAAAAATAGGGAAGAGAAAAAGATAGAGATCATATACATGCATCTCCACGGCGCCGCAAAAGGCAGTGACAATAAAGAGAAAGAGAGAGGAAAGGCGAACCCAAAATCCATAATAATAATAATAATAATAATAAAAAAAAGAGACAAAGACTTCCTGTTCCCGAATGTCATGACTGTCCCACGGGGTCAGCGTGCTAGCAAACAGAGTCCAGACATTGGAGCGGTGGGGCTTGACGCTAGCCGCTAGATTGTGATGGGGAAGCTTTAGTACAATGAGAGAGACCACAAGCCAGGGCTGAAGTGGCCTGGGTGCACATTCTTCTCCCTGCAAGCAATGTTCACCTCGGCCTAAGCGGAGGACAGGGATGCATGTATGGGGCAAACCAATAAGCGATTTTCTAGCACAGACCGGGATCGAACAGGAGAGAAATAAGATATGTGATGTGTGTGGTGCACCTAACTGCAAGCTGGCCAGAAGCCCCTCATTCCAACATCACGACGAGAGACTAATTTCGACCGAGCAGGGCCTATGTGAGGTAGACTCGCGCTGGCTTTCTAAAGTTGATGAGTGGCATGTACCTGTTGGTAACACAAGTGCTTGGTCCATTGTGCGTGATGGTGGTGGGATAGATCGCGTGCCATTCCAACATGACTCGCAACCAGTCACATTTCAGGGTTCAAGAGGGACCCAGTTGGCCCAGTTGGGCGGTTTACCGAATGCTGAGTATCCATGGTTAGCTGCATAAACGGTTTCCAAAATATACGCCGAAGACGTTCCTCTTTTCCGCACAGGGATATTCCTTTGCTTTTTCCTTTGCGATTCCCCCCTCTTCTCATCATCCGGACCCGCTTTTGAGCTTGGACACGTATTTTCCACGTAGAGAGCAGATCACACTACGTGATAACCCCAGTCAATGAAATGCAATGCTTGTCATGAACGGGAACATCCGAATAGTTCGGGTCTGACATGACATGTTGGGTTTGCAGGGATTCCTATATGCAAGTTGCCTTGATGCATTGAGTGTAACTGATGTCGTCAATCAATCGATCGATCGACCCTAATATGGAGATCTCCCGATGGCTCTTTAGAAATGTCGGATCTCAGCGAGGGTCTTCGATCCATCAATTGCCGCTGAACTATATAAGGGCGGGAGGCTGGCGTCCCAGAAAGCAGATTAAGCTCTCAGCACCCAACAAGCCGTGGACCAGAACTTGAACTTTGTTGGTTTTTCTTCTTTAAACTTTGACCATATCCAATCTTCCGGAACTTGAGAGGCCTTTTCACATCTCGGAGCCAACCGAGCATCTCCCTTCCTTCGAACTTAACCAGAGTACTGGGTAGTGACATATTCAACATGCCGGTGAGTGCACACAACAAAAGTTATTTTTCTTTTCTCTGTCCAAGCAGACTTTCTGATCTATGAACCAGATGCCAGGAAGACGTTGCCCGGAGTGTGAGAAATGTGGAAAGGAGACCTGGGTTATCCCTGGAAAGAACTGCCATGTCTGCGGTACTCCTGTTGGTTGACGATGTCCGGTAAGTTTTAGTAGCCAGCCATAGAGGAAGTACCTTGACCTGAACGCATATACTGATACTGTCCTGGCAGACCACTCGAAGACATCAATCAATCTTGGGGGACCTAGGCGTCTCTTTCTCCAGGGGAAAAAGGGAGGACAAAAACGCCGTCCACTTCAAAATGACCCCTGAAAACCCTCGAATCGTCCTTTCTTTTCGTTGTTCCTGGGGGGGGCGGAACAAATCGTGGAATGACCAGGGACGACAGCGGCGGCAAACACCAATTACTCACACAGGCGCCCTTAATCTGGGATGGGCCACAAAGCTGGGAAAGATTTGGAGACAGGAATTGTACGATAGTATGGGATATCCGCACAAACGTAATGCAATTATTAGAAGAGCGCTTATTCGGCTCAATTGATGGATTATCCAGCTGAGGGTAGCGATAAAAGAGTGAGGAAGATATCCAAGTTAGCAGACTTGATCTATCTCCCAAGTCATGCGTAGCTCCTTCCTGATCTGGCAGTGTTCATTGCCCGGCTTTGCAGGCAATACTTCTACCACTAGGATTCGCATAAACCAGTGGATTACTGAGTTCTTTTTCTACCAACCCATTTAACCTTCTGACTGTATGTACAGCCCAGCTATACAACCGAAGACATCGACCAGATAATCCAACCTTCGAAGTTGCTAAGGACTACTAGTACTACTAACTTAAAAGCCCATACCTCCTCTCCAAATGACTGGAGACCATCTCCATCCAATAAAAACAATCCAATGGTATCCCCACATGACAGTCCCCTTCTAGTACGAATCAGGCAATATTCTGGAATGCTGGACGCCCATGCAACGACGTCATCGTCGTCTTCCCCGCCAATTCCACCGTCTCAACGTACCATAGCCAAAACATCTTCTGTGAACGTTCATTTTACTCAAATAACGCTCTTTATACTTCTCGCCAGAAGGGCATAGCAATAATCATGACAGAAACACAAACTTACCCCGTCGGGACCCGCAGCGAGTGCGAACGTCTCGTCCGAGACTGGGGTTTCCAACACATCTTTACCTGGTCTGATGGCAGGTGGGTCAATTACTGGTTGAAGGGCTCGTATCGGTATACGTAGGCTTAGGCTTACTTTTGCGCGTTTTACAGCAATGCATATTACTCGCCTCATAGACATGCGGGCTTGACGACGCATCTTATTCGACAAGGGTCCCTCACAATCACATACCCAGAAGACAATGCTCGATTCAATAATGGGGAGGTGAAGAAGGAGACATTTGGGGCTGGATCCCGGGTCGATGTACCGGCTGGGAAGTTGCATGAGGTGTGGATTGGGGAAGATGGGTGTGAGTATGTGATTGGGGAGTAGAAGAGTTCGGATATGATACGTGCATGATGAACACATTGACGACACGACTAACGGGTTTCTAATGTGAGCGGTATATGTTTTGGACTCTTCTATTCGAATCTATTAACCGTCGACCGTCTAACTCTATAATTCTAAATGAAGTGGTATCACAAGACTTTTTAATCATAACTAGCACCCCTGATCCATGTCCAGCTGGATCTAGGTCGCGTTTGCTCGTAAATTAATGGATGAATTTAAAATCGAGTCTGGAAAGAGTTAGCAAAGGCACCGCCAAAGAGGCCTGAGGGTCGCATACCGTTTATTGCCCAAGTGCCCGTTAGCAGCCAGATATTCCTCCCTCTCGGCGCTAGACATAACATCCCATTTCTCGGCATTCTTCCTGTGTAGGTGAGACGTATTAGTATCTGTATTTGACTGATCCAGGTGGATTCGGGAGATAACATACTTGTTGCGCCACATGTAGTAGTACTTAGCTCCAATGAACACAAAAATGCTCCAAACTGTCAACGCAATGAGAACCTTGTTTCCTGTGCGATAGTACGGTTTATCATTTTCACGATAGATCTAGAAGAGCAAAGATCAACACATATTCACTTGTGCGAGTGGCTGGAGTTGGGAGAGTTCACTCACATTGTTGGAGATAATGCTTGATGTCTGGACCATCATGTTGTAAACCGCACTGGCAACTGTCCTCGTACGAACCGTGCCTGCGTTCCGAGAGGTCATGGCAACAACAATAGCATGCACATACGGTGCACCGATCAGTAGTACATTAATGATCCACCGAGACCAATGACTGGCATTATCTGGCAGGGTCTCGAGAGCGATCAAGAGAACCAAGCACCAAATCATAGACCCGACTCCTAGAATCAATCGTTGGTGAAACCGCTCTGAGATCCAGGTCCAAACAAGTAGGTTGATAATGAAGACCACATAAGCTGGGATTGTTAAAAGGTTCGTCTCAAATGTACCGAATCCCAGCGACTTAAGCTGTAGGGTGATGTAGTTTGTTGCTGGTGAATTGGGAATCATCCATGTTAATCCTAGCAGGTAGATGGGCCACATATCATAGTCGCAAAGGGCCTCCCAAAGCATCTTTAGTGTTATAGCCTGTCGGTTGTGCATTCCTCCCTTGCTCGGATCATCACGGAGCACTCGGTTGACCATGATTTTCTCTTCACGTTCATTAAACCAACCATCTTTGCCGCGAAACCCGCCTTTGGTCTGAGTAGGTGATGCCGGCATCCAGAATGCTGCAATGATTGCAATGATCCCAGTTATGAGACCTTCAAAGGCAAACAAATACCGCCAGCCACCGGTGCCATCAGACCTTCGCACATGTAAGAAGCCGTATGCTAGGAATGCGCTGATAATCGATGTTCCCTCGTAGGAAACCCAGAAATAACTTAATCGGATAGGCAGCTCCTTCGACTTGTACCAAAAGGAGAGAAAGAGAATAGTATCCGGGATGCTGGAATGTGTCAATGGGATATCAAATGAGACCTCAGATACACAATTAAACTCACAATCCACCCTCAAAAAGAGCCAACAACGCCCTGCAGACATAGTATGACTTTTTCCCCGAAAGGAAAGCCTGGAAGGCGGCGATTAGACTCCAACAGAACATCTGGATCGGAATCCACCGATCCGGTCCGATTTTCTTTGAGATCAATTGGGAGGGAAGTTCCGCGAACAGGAAAACGAGGTAGAAGATTGTTTGGCCGGTGTTGTAGTCATTTGTGTTCATGCCCAGATCTCCCAACATGTTATCGGACATCGCCTGAACGATATTGCCTCGGTCGAGTTGTAGTGCAAAAAAGGTAATACATGCGAATGTACAGACCCGTAGATCGATCTGTCGTTGTTATCAGTCTAAGCCAATCTGAACGAGAGTCCGATCCAGGAATACCTTTCTTATGAGTTTCTTCTCCTCTTGCTCTCCCCATTCAAAATCCGGATCCCAACGATGTATACCTTCATAGTCGTCGATCGGCTTGTAATATCTGGGGTCTTCGGTGGTATCAAAAGCGCCCTCGCTTATATCCCTGGCCCGCTTGGGCGCAGCGACAGGTAGTGTCTCGGAGGATGACCCTGCTGAGACTTGTTTCGAGTCGTCTGTTACAGGTTCAACATTGGCAGTCGCTTCTTTGTGGTCGCCGGAAGCCATTTTGCCGGTATGGTTGAATGCGGCGGTTATTCGACGGACTCAATAATGGGAATGGACGAGCTGTTAAAGCTACAAGGGCATCGCATGCCATTAATAAATATTGCCTTGTGGTTATCGCTAGTCGAGGCAGTGGTGATTCTATCACGCCATCGCAGTATTTTACTTAAGGCTGAAGCTAGTCGAGACTACGCGATGAGCATGCACCGTAGATGGTTATCCAGAGCCAATTAGGACATGTCAACGTGGAGTTGAAGATTTTATCGGACAGCTTGATGCCGCTTGCCGATGGAGACGCGATAAGATGCTGCGGATCGCGGCGAACCTCCGCATGGTTGAGAAGCAGCTAATAGCATCATTGTCTAGTAAAGCTTTGGCAAGTTAAGCAAGCCGAAGCAATTCTTGATCGTCTTGGACCAATCATCCAGGACCCATTAGGGAGTACGTCGGGTAGTGGACACCATCACGCAAATGGAGCAACATTGACGTTATGAAGAACGAGTCATGGCAACGGAAAGAAGCAGGGATATCATTTAGCATTTGATCTGGACTGGCTAGCTAGCAGCAATTGCCGACAGTCATATGTTTTACCGCGGAGCCCATCATAGTAGCAAAGTGTAGCCGATCTCATCATCATCTTGGCATATGGTGGCATATTTCGCCATCAATATCGCAACGTTATGGCGAGATCTGATTGGGTGCTCGTGCATTACGCTAGGACAAGCTGCATGATATGCGCAATCTAAAGGATTGGCGTCCCTTATTCTTATTCTCATTCATTCATATCTTGAATGTGCAATGTGACTGTCGATTTACCCTTTCCGAGGCTCTCACACATGTAAACAGCAAACGGTTGCGGGGAGGCAATCATTGTAACTGCAATAGACTCCAGGGCGAGTAGCTCCTTGAATGGCCCTCCACCCAGATAAATGGCGGAGGCCCACTTTAGTGTGTTTTGTATGTGTACGTAGTATATTAAATTCACCAGCGGAGGGAGATGATTAGATTGCAGTTTAGGGTTGCGCCAAGGGGTCGTGCTAGCACGTCATACTTGGCCCGCAAGTTGCAACAACAACGTCAACAACAGCAACAACAACGGCCCCGTATCACTTTAGATAGTGAAAGAGTCGATCATGTTCTACTTGTCGTCAGCCCGAGTATTTCAGTTTTCTATCGACCTAACGAAGATGAGACAAAAGTTTGTCTCCTTGATCGGTTCAAATCCAGAGCTTACCACGGAACCAACAGCCGACCGAGCTCTGTGACGCCGAGTCAGCATACGATGGATAGGCTTTCGTGCCGCAAATCCTCCCTCATCACGCAATCAGATCGCTTTATGATTCACCAGTCGGCCACTCAGCATTGTGTACTTGGCTCGTCGTGGCAGTCCTTCCCAGTGACCCCGCGCGCCGCGTGAAACTCCTTGCAAGATGTACTCTTGAGCAGGGCGTGATATTGAACATACCCCGCAAATATGGCACAATCATCAGGCATCAGCCGGATAATCGGATCTGACACGGGCGGCTAACTGTGAAGCGATAGATATATCTAGGAGATAGTCCCTAGCGTTAGACCAGTGCTTGTTCGGACAGAAGACAAATTGAAAGAGCATCAACTTTCACGAGAATCTACAACGATGGCTCCCTCTATAACCGAAACCGTCTCACTCCACTCGGCACCAAAGACCTCTCTTAGGACCGATGCTGGTCACAATAAGGAGAATGGGGTAGGATACCGTGAAACTTATCAGCATGACAATGAGATCAAAGGAACCGCAAAACAGCCGCCGGCAGCTTTCCCGAAGTATCTCCCCGTCTGGGATAACGAAACAGAGAAGTATGGGGTTCCTGATTTTGCACCATGTTTAGTCACTCGAGCATTGCAGCTAACGACTCGATAGATACCCACCTCTTCAACCCTTTGAGCACTATGACCATGGCAAGGATGCCGACCCAACTTTCCCCGATCTCTTCCCTGAGGGCAAGGGCGAGGTGGAGGAGCTTACCCCAACCATTGGTAGCGAAGTTCAAGGTATCCAACTGAGTCAGTTGACCGATAAGGGTAAAGATCAGCTGGCTTTGTATATCGCACAAAGGAAGGTTGTCGGTATGTTATAGCATATAAAGGCGAATGATTCTTGACAAAAATTACTGACGGAGTCTTTCAGCTTTCCGAGACCAGGACTTCGCCCAGCTCCCCATCGAGAAAGCCCTTGAGTTTGGTGGTTATTTCGGTAGACACCACATTCATCAGAGCTCTGGAGCACCTAAAGGCTTCCCCGAGATTCACCTCGTTCACCGTGGAGCAGACGATAGGAGTGGAGCTGAATTCCTGGAAACCCACACCAACTCGCTTACTTGGCACTCTGATGTTACCTTCGAAAAACAGCCTCCTGGCACTACATTCCTGTACTTGTTGGATGGCCCGACAAGCGGCGGAGATACTCTGTTCTGTAACATGGCCCAGGCTTACAGACGGTTGTCACCTGAGTTCCGCAAGCGACTGCATGGGCTAAAGGCTGTTCACTCTGGTGTCGAGCAGGTCAACAACAGTCTGAACAAGGGCGGTATTGCACGGCGCGACCCAATAACCACCGAGCACCCAATTGTGAGGACACATCCCGTCACTGGGGAGAAAGCTCTTTTCGTGAACCCACAATGTGAGTCCTCATTCGAAACAGTGTAGTCGGTATTAGGTTTCTAAAAATCATCAGTTACCCGATACATCGTTGGATACAAGAAGGAAGAGTCCGACTTCCTCCTCAAATTCTTATACGATCATATTGCCTTGTCCCAAGACATTCAGACTCGCGTAAGGTGGCGACCGAATACCGTGGTTGTTTGGGATGTAAGTATACATGTCTAGCCGTTTTGATGTAAGTGGTATTAATTCCATTCTAGAACCGAGTCGTTGCACACAGTGCCATTTTCGACTGGGAGGATGGTCAGAGGCGTCATCTGGCAAGAATCACACCACAGGCGGAAAGACCGTACGAAACTCCATTCGAAGGATAGATGCCGATGCCTTCGCTATGTTTCAAGTCACCGCATCGGACATACGAATATGGTATCCAAATACATGATATTGAGATAGAAATGATCTATGTTGACGAATAAGAATCGGTTTTTGGCACTCTGATAGGCCTTGCCTTCGCAGCAGAGACACTTTCTAGTTAAGTTAGAAATAGTAAGTCTCACAACCCACGAGCCTGAGCTCTTAGGGGGCGTAGAACAGTTGGTCAACTTCTTCAAGAATTGCCGGGCCAGGCGATGTTCAGTTACGCCAGGATGGTATACTGCCTGATATATCTCTCGGGAGTTTTCATCAGAAGGACTAGGGGGTGTTATCAAGATTGATGGAGGTGCTAAACGAGAGCGCGACGAGGGCTTTTCGGGGAGTTCAATGTTCGCCAACTCAGCACCCATGGTTCCGATGTGTTTGGCAATCTTCCCAGACTTGGTGGTGCTTGAAGTGCGGGAGTAATCGGGATGCTCTATTTCCGTATGCTCTGTGGAACCATATCGGAAGTTGTAGTTCTCGGCTATCGGTCGCCATTTGAAGAGCGAGGATTGGCAGAAGACCAAGGTCTATATGATTTGATCTGTTGCGCGGTTGACGAGTATCGAGAGTGACCCTATGGGTTGTAAGGAGATACATCAGAGGCTAAGCCGGTGGAGGAATAAATTGATGGATGGGGTACCAAAGTGACAACGCCAAGGTAGCAAAGGAAAGTCGAATGTGAATCAGAAGCAAGTCAACTCATTCTGGAATGGGACATCCGCCTGTATTCCCAAAGATTGACGATGTTTTGTCCACAAAACGAAACATACCAGCTCACTTCACAGCTTCCTCTTCTCAAACATTCTTTGTCCGGTCATATCGATGCATGATGCTAACCTTCCATTCTCGAAACTCCCTTGCTGACTTTGGTAACATCTTGTTCCTGCTCTTCAAAGTTTCTGAGATAGCAGACAAGACGCTGGATGACAGTCGAAGTTCTTCCAGGGACAAAGATGATGCCTTGCCACGATCCGGATGAAGCATCCCATCTACGTCGACGACATCCTGGAATAGAATTTTCATGGCCCGCTGCGCAGTTATACTGTGGTCCGAGCTAGAGTTCGAATATCGCATATCCGGATTAAAGACCCAGATCTATACGCCAAGAAGTCACAAACAGGTATCAAAAAGGAAAAACTACTGAAGGACAACGAATCGACATACCAGCAGCCCATCCCCTTGTCCACAGTGGAGAACAAATCGTCGAGCGCTTTCTCTCTCAATCAACTCCAACAATTGAGCTGCTACAACCGCCTCCAAAGGATGACTTTCCCATTCTGGGTCTTCGCACACGCCTTCGGACTGCTTGCTTACAGATAAGCTTGTTTTGAATAGTCGCCATCCTTTAGCAACTGTGTCTTCAACTCCCATCTGGCTATTGCAATGATCGCAAAGCAACTCCATCTGTGCTTCCGTTGAAGAGGCTGTTGCACTCTTTATTTCAACCTAATATAATATATTTATCAGCAATCTGATGCTATGCAAGTTGCAACTTTAGGGAAATGTTGTGGCTTCGTTATGAAGCGCATATGAAGATCAGCAGTTATTATATTTGTAAGGTACTACAGTTGACTATCTGTTTCTTGATCATCAAATGATGATTCGGGGTAAAGTCTTCCAACCTATCCCAGGGTCCTTTCCCACATGTACCTCGTTATAATCGCGTCGATCTCATGGCTTTGGGTAAGCAGACTGAATCAACGGAGAAATGCAGCGAGGTGAAACCTTGATCCCGAGTCAAACATGCTAAAGACCAGATGGCAACCACGGCGAAGTGCGAAATCCATCACGAAGAAGATAACTGCACCCAGCCGTGATGCCATTCCAGCTCTATAACAGATATCTGACCAAGATAGAAACCAAGACACAACTAGTTATAGGGCAATTGTATCGAAGACCAAAGCATGATTATGAAATGGCCTCCTTCTTTTTTGCCCAAGGTCAAGCATTGGGGTAGGGTTAAAATAAACAAGACTTAGGCATAGAGCGCAAAAATTACAACAAACAACAATCCTAGTTAAGAATCAACCGGAAGAGATGTTCGTGCTTACCTGTTTCAAGCCTCTACAGTCGGAGTTCGTGAGCAGAAAGGTCGCGACGTCCACAAGAACAGTCCCTGAAGTTGCGACAACCTGATTCGCAGCACCGTATCCCTTGACTGTAGCATTCTGGTCTTCAACTGTAGCGCCATTAAGATAATCATGATCATGATCATGATCATGGTCCTCATGAGGATCCGGCTTGTGGCAGTGCCAAAAATCCATCATTTCAGCCCAATTCCCACTGGGCAAATCCTTCCATACCCACCCCTGCGTATCCTTCTCTGCAGCACCAGATCCACACGGCGCATGCGAATCGAGGAGAATACTCCTACAATGGCGACAACGAAGCCTAGTACAGGAAGTCATGTCGGTCGCGGTCCACGGGACAGAGCTGTCCATATGTTCTTCTCTCGAGAGCAACGATGCATCTTCATCATCGATCTGCATTCTAAACGAGTATTCCTGCTGATCATGCCCATTTATCCGAGGATCTGTAGCTCGCTGTCCTGCTACGCTCAAGGCCAGCCGAGATGCTTCATTGACACGGGCTGGTAATTTGATCGTATCTGTGACATCGTCGTGCAGCGATGCGAGAGATACTGTAATGGCACGACGAGAATCAGATAAACAAATCTCTGGTCGGACATTTTGTGATCGTATCGCCTCCGGTAGCGATACGTAGAGAGTAATATGGCGGATATTAGGGAGAAGTTCGGCGTGTAGATAGAGCGTCACAGGCTCGGTTTGTTGCTGTGCTGCGGACATTATAGGAAATATATGTGAATTTATCGTATGATTGGACTGTTAGCTGCCTTTATTAGTATGGTTTTTAGTTTAATCAAGTCATGGACGTAAATCGTAGAAGCGACTGTGGTGAAAAATGTTGAGAGGTTATGGTCAAATTGCTCGAATATTACTTACTCCATTAAACAAGCTCTAAAGGCGTATCACGTGTTATCTGTGTATGGCACTAATGCCTCAGGCATGAATATAAGATTCATTGAGTGGTAGTTAACTAACACCATAGAATGTAGTGGTTTAATAAAGCTTATGACTAACATTTCATATTAAATAGAACATACATTTGAATCTGATTCTCAATTTGGGATCCACGATGGTTCTATCTCCAACCCAATGTTTTTTGAGCTGTTATTTGTCACAAATTGATCAGAAAAGCATTGAAAACAGGATGTTTCCGATGGCCAAAAACCATGCTTATTGTACATTAAATAGCCAGTCAACATGCCAAGAAAGCCAATTTGAGCGAATACCACTAGAATCCAATTGCTACCCTATCAAACAAATCCTCCCCAACCATTGAACTCTTCACCGAACTTAACAGCAGCTTTCAAATAGTATTGTTCCGGATCTCCCCATGTCGCAGCAGCTTCCTTACACGCGCGAATTGCCTTGACATAGTGTGCATCTGTCGAATATTCACCCTTAATAGCCTTCTGCGCCGTCCAACTCCAGTCTCTTCCTTTCAATTCGTAGTCCTTAATCTGGTCGAGTTTGATTTCCGGCCTTAATTGCGCAATGTATACAACTAAAGTGAGAAGCCACCACTGTCTGACGAGTATATATTGGAAGCGTGTTGGGATCAGTGGTAGGAGAATACGGACGGCATGGCTGGTTGTTAACGTGTGGACGAGGAAGAAGTCATACTTGTCCGATGTTTCAGATTGAGTGGCGGTTAAAAGAGCCACGGCGACCTCCTGGCTTTCGCGAAATTGTTTCACGGGATCTTCGATTTTCCACGCATTCCAGTGATTGAGGAGTGCGGCTTCATGGTGACGTAGAATCGTATCTATGTTGTTGTCGCCTGGGGTCCCGAAGAGGCCGTTGAATTGTTTGTCGACTCGTACCTTGTTTAGAATCTCGAGTAGGGAAGTGGAAGAGTAGAGAGACTCTGCCTGTGAATAAGAAGGGTCGTCTATATACTTATGCATTTTTCCGTAGCACGTAGCTGCAAGGGCAAGGGCTTCCATAGCAACTTCACGACTAGACATCTCAAATGCATAAGCAAGGTGGATTAAGGGGTGACCAACTAAGCCAAGTCAGCTTTATTGGACTATCACTAATTTTATTGGGGCCATCGTACGGTCTTCAACAAGGGAATTGAATAGCGGCTCCTTTCCGGAGAATAAATAATCTGCGAGGACTTGCTTCCAATCATATCCGTGACGGACAAGTTCGTCCTCGAAAAAGTCCACAAATGCTCTTTGATATCTAGATTGACGTTAGATACGTCTGTCTATCAAAGGCTAGATCATGCATAAACCCAGTAATACAGTAAAGATACATACTCTCGATGGCTCAAGTAGTCTCTCCAGTCATAGGTACTGATTTCACCTGGAGAATCAACCCAGGGGTCCAAAAGCTTTGACTCGGCCTCGTAGATACGATTTAGATCATCCGCGTCTGCTCCTAGAAGGAAAGAAGAGCTCAGAATCTACATAGAGTCAGTTCTGCTTTTGGTATGAAAGATATAATAGAGTATGGCTTACATGAGGCGCATGGTTATGGAACTTTCGCTCGTTGTACAGTACGGAGTAGTTGGCATGATTCAACTTCAGCAAATGTTTTAAAGCCCGAGCCGGCTTCTCCTGTGCTGTATCGATCTCATGAATCTTGACTGTCGGGATATCGATAAAAGTTCGATCGCGCCATGGCAAGAAGCTCTTCAAGGAAGGCAGCGAGATAGACAACATAGCTATATTGAGTAAGGGAGTAGTATGCTCCAGTGTGGAGCTTCTCGATTTGGGTTCAACTGTTAACAATGTTCGACACCCTGCGTCCTTGTTAGAATCTTGAAGCGGTATTACAATATATTATACTAAATGAATGGCACTGAGTGCTGTCGTTCTGGCGATCCCAGCAAAATGTGGGGAAAGAAAGTTGTTGGGGCGAATTGGATGAATGAGGCCTTGGTGGCCTGAGGGCCTTAGCTGATTTATGTGACGTCACCCGTTCTTGTAAACCAAATTCTAATTGAACTATACATTTCTTGAAAGTTCTATGTTCTGTCGTGTAGGGTCATAATAAGCTAAGTACTACTGGTTAGTTATATCCAGGCTTCTTAGTCATTGTAATCTTATTTCCCATCGCTTTTCCCATGGGTTTCAGCGGTCCCAGCGTGCGTGGGCACTTCTTCAATTACGCCTGCAAGGATATCCACATCAGCCCGTGGCCCAGTGAAGTTCTTGCGGCCATCAATGAACCACTGGAATGTCGAGATGACAAGAATAATACCAAAAGCAGCAACACAGTAGTCTAGCAATGCGTGTTTTGTCAGCAGTCTCTTCGACAATAAACTCATTTATAATCGGTGATACTCACTCATACTGCTACCGGTCGCAGGCAGCACTGGAGGGAAGAGGAATAGCACCGTGGTGAGGCTAATGTATGTAAGAGAAATCTATAAGTAGTATTAGCTAATAGTCCTGATGTGATGGTTTTGAGCGGGCGTACTATGTTGGCGATCCAGCCTAAAGTATTCGGGAGAACAAATGAGCGTTCAGGCAGCATAGCGCGACCACGCAGGCAGTTTACTGCAATCGGAATACCGTATGCGATGTCAAGCATCACTACTGATGATGAGATAATAGCGTTGAATGCACTGTTCGGGTTAATAAACATATAGTGTTATTGTGTATTAATGATGAGAAAACCTACCTCGAAGACCCGAGGAAAATAAGCCCAAAGACAGTGATAACAGCAAACGTCAGATACAAGGCGTTCAGTGGAACATTGAGCTTCGGATGAACCCTGGAAAAGAAGGGTGAAGCAGGAAGACCGCCATCTCTGCCCATCGTCATCAGTTTTGCTTTTGGAGGAGGTATTACTTGACACCATCATATTTACCTTGCAAAAGCATAGATCATACGGCTACTGGTGGTCATGATACTCGTGGCTGCGAAAAGAATGCAAACAAGAGGGAACCTTGGGATTATCAGTTAGCAAAGTACTAGGTGCTGACAGTCGGAAGAGGCACGTACATTAGAAGACAGATTGACCCAGCATTGCTTCCAGTTGCATCTTTAAAGATCTGCAGAAGACATCCCGCAGCAGAATCGATGACATTGTAGATATCACCGGCAACGAAGAGGAGCACGATCAAAAAGATCGAACCTGTCACGGTACCAATACAGACGCACCCTATCATAATCTTAGGGCCCACGACAGATGGATTGGGGATTTCTGTAACAGAGTCAATTAGTAAAGCGGCTTTCCGCACGTTGTGCATATATTGCATACCCTCAATCATATGGGCAACCCCATCCTATACAATGATCAGTGGCTTGATATAGAGCTGAGCGAATAGCGATAACTTACAAATCCTGTGAGACCAAGTCCACCTTGAAGAAGCTATAGATGAGTTAGAAATGTCATTCGTCAACGAATTCAATGCGCAAAACTTACACCAAGTAGCCAAGCGACACCATCAGGCCCTATGAACAATTAGCCTCGGTCCAAGACCTAAACAGAGAGAGAGAGATAGAGAATCCACATACATCCTGTTTCGTTGATAAACTTTCCAAACACAAATCTGATTTGGTCAGTACTCTTTACACGAAACTGGGATATAAATGTGAGTCTCACTCTCCCGAGTTGTAGTTGGGTGACGAGCATGCAAGAAGTGTTATCGAGACGATGGCAAATCCGGATAAGGACCAAATGACTTGAGTGGAGTCAGTGTTTTTACCCGCTGTAAAAAGAAAGAGTAACATAGTTCTAACTTACAAGCACCCTTAGTGAAGTACGGAAGGCCATTGTTCATGAGGGCGTTGATGATGAACGCAGCAATATTATAGCCAGTATAGATTAAAAATTGGTGCCAGCGTTGTGCTTCAAAGGTCTAATAGGAATAATCAGCCGGTGAGATCATCATAGTGAAGCATGGGGGCCCTTACCGGATGCAATAATGAGATTATGCCCAGAATCAACTCGCTGCCCAGCAGGCCACCGGTGGCAGTCAATGCAAGCTAGACTAATTAGCCCGGATTGTTCCCAGCATATGTCGTGTCAACCTACCCAGCCAGAAACATTGGCCCAGCCGGTGATCCATGAAAGTATGGGCATCCATCGTTCCCAAGAAACTTATGTCGTTTAGCATATTGTATGAGGTGAATATAGTGACACTAAACACTCACTAACTGTTAGGCTAGGAAGTTAGTCACGATTCAAGTCGAATTTTCACTAGGATATAGCACAAACTTACCTGCAACCCAATGGTATTGTCCACCAGCGCTGGATTCACAGTCAGATGAGACAAGAGATGAGATGTATGACCGAGTTGTACTCACGTGGGATAAGCGGACAAGAACTCGGCAAGCGAAGTTGCTATACAAAGGTTACATACACCTGCCGTAACCAAGCCTATAGAGAACTAGGTCAGTAGGGAGCTGTATATGGTATTCTAAGGAATCAAGGGATTGAAGAAAAGCAAGAGAATCTGAAGGAGGGTTATCTTACCCCAGACGACACTTACACAGCCTCCAGACGGTAGGCTAAGAGATAAGCTCGCCGATAGAGCGGTCCAAGACTGCAACCAAAATTAAAGTTAATTACTTTCCAAGGTCTCGTGGCTCGGTGTTGCTTGTTTTTTCCAACGTGCCCCTGCAGCATCGATCATGGGCATCCAATAACGGAGGGGTCTTTGCGTTCAGTCACATACATTTAGAATAGCAAAGGCCAATCCTAACATGGACCTGAGTTAGAAACACAAGAGAGTCAGTCAGTCTCGATCAAAATAAGATGCTTAGAGACACTGGAACATACAAAAGTGAGAAATTTCGCTTCAACTCGGCCTTATGGCCCATGGCTGCCAACTGCACATCATCGTCCCCCCTAATGTCTTTCATGGCGGACGTGTCGGCCATTGCCAGAATAGTTGATCCCGAACTAATATTAAACCCAAGAAGACAAATGGATCAAAGACCTAGAGAAAAAAAAAACCAGAATGAGAGAAAACACTATCAAAGGATATCGACTCAATTGGACTAGGTATGGGAAGGGTACTGATCACACGAAGGGGAGGAGAAGAAAAAAGGTGGAAAGGAGGATAGAACAACACACCACAGACACAATCCTCCACCATGAGGCACACTCATCCCTTTTCCATGTTTCCTCCACCGGGATCTGTCATTCTCGGGCAGCATTTCCCCCAAACTCGGCCATCAAGCGTTCTGGGAAACTGGGTCCACCGCGGATTGCGGGGATAGTGGCGACAGGACCGCGGTTACCCAATGTGCAATGGGGTCAATCTCAACCTTGATAGCGACATACTCCGGAGTAGCCCCGATAAGAAAGGCGTGTAGAAATCCATAGGTGGAGTAGATCATCAGAGGTATGTTCCTTACGCAGCGCCATGATTCGTCATTATCGCCGAGCATAGGCGCCGAAAGCCAGTGATAACAAGTCAATTGGTGGATCAACAGTGATTAAGGTATTAGGATATGGAACCCAAGCTTCGGTCCAGAGGAACCGCAGCCTTCCGTTGGCTATTCTTGGTCTGGTGCAGCCGATGGGGCAGCGATGGTGCGGGAGCTTGTCTTATGGTAATATCGAAATATAATGGGAAAGATACTGTGTAGATAACCTTCAGCAGGACGGGAGATATGGATGTTATCGAGAGGGTTGAGTCATTAAATTCAACCATTGATAAGGCTGCGTGTGGAGTTCGTGAATATGTACGGCTGATAATTCCCCGGCCATGCCTCAGGCCACGATTATCACGAGATATGCAAAGAATCTTCCCGAGCCTCATAGCCATTCATCATCTTCATGCCGCTCAAATGTAACATTATATACACATTCCCGAGACCTTGGTCCATACCTATACACAGCTAGTACCACCCCAATCATATTTCCAATAAGGTTAATGCGCCTAAACATCGACCTCTATTTACTTCGAACTATCACCGTCGGCATGGACAAGATGATCGGTCCGAACGATGTAGTCCTCATCGCCATTGGTAGCGCCATCTTCCTTAGTAACATCATCGTAATGGGAGATACTCTTCTCAGCCCTTGAGCCTGAAGTGGGGCCATCAAGAGAAGAATCAGAGTCGTTGCTAGGAGCAGTGACGGTCTTATTCTTCAATTTCGCTCCGGCGCCAGCGGGGCTCTTGCCTTTCCCTTTACTGCTAGTCGAGTGACTACTCACGCTCCGCATAGGTTGCTGTCCTTGTTTCCCCTTACCTTTGCCGCTGCTTGTAGGCAAGTGGTCGCCATTCGTGACAGGCCCACCTATACTACCATTTAGTTGGTCTCCCAGTTCGAGTGCTTCAAGGGCATCCGCGATAGTTCGAGGTGGCTGCGCCCCAGAATTGCTGCCTGAATCTTGCTTCTTATCAACAGACTCGAATGTCTGTCGGATACGTTCGAAATGCTCCAGCTCCTTGGCACTGCATGTCGTTAGTCTTCTTTTGTTTCGAGGAACCCATGGCAACATGTCAATGAAACATACCTAACACTGGGGACGAGTTCGTTCTGTGCCTGAATGAAGTCCTCCTCGGCAACTGTAACGGTTACATCTTCCGGCGTGGCAAGGTGGTCAAAGAAGTAAGCAGTGCTGACAGGTTCTCCTGGCAGCTGTTTGATCTTTTCATCCACTGCTGTTGCCTTCCGGGTGATAGCTTTTAACATAGCATCAGAACACAGGGCATACAAGTCCGCACCCGTGTACGTAAGAGGCAGCTGCTCCGCAACTCTGCTCAGCGATACCTCAGGTGCAAGAGCAAACTTTCTTGTAAGCGCTTCTAGAATCGTAGCTTGTTTATCGTGTGTGTCAGACACTCCAAGGTAGAGCATCTTGTCGAAACGACCGGGACGTAGGAGTGCCGTGTCCAACAAATCCGGACGGTTTGTAGCGCCAATTACGAAGACACCGCCACTGTTTTCCTCGCCACCATTCATACCATCTAGCTCGGCAAGCAGCTGACTGACGATACGGTCCATTACACCACCACTATCTCCTTGGTTTCCACGCTTCGGGGCGACCGAATCCAGTTCATCAAAGAACACAACACACGGGCGAGCATCCCGAGCGCGTTGAAACACACGCCTAACATTCGCTTCGGATTCACCGATATACATATTAAGTAACTCAGGCCCCTTGACGGAGAAGAAGTTCAACGAGAACTCTGTGGCGATCGCCTTGGCGAGTAATGTCTTTCCAGTACCCGGCGGCCCGTAGAATAAGATACCGCTGCGTTTTTTCATGCCTTTGGCGAATAGTTCAGGTCGCTCTAGGGGCAGCTGGATGGTTTCAATGAGAGCATCCTTAACGTTTGTCAAACCACCCACATCATCCCAGCTAACGTTCGGGATCTTTGGTGCGCCAATAGAATCAGCAAAGTTCTTCCTCGCGGCATCAACAGCTGCGTCAAAGTCGGCCTTGGTAACACCTCGGGCTGCATCGCCCCCGGAAACAAGAACGTCCCTGGTGCTAACTTTTGACCCCGAGTTTTCGCTTGCGGTTTCGGCTAACTTCTCCAGACGTGCCGCTCTCACGGAAGAAGCACGTTCAACAACGTCAACCAAATCTCCCGCGACTAAAGCAGCAGTCTTAAGCGCTACCGAGCCTAGATCTACATCAGGGGAGACCTTGATGCCCCGTTCGGAAACAGCATTATGAAGGATGCCTTCACGCTCCTTTTCCTCTGGTGCCATCATCTCAAATTCATGAGTAAACATGCTGCGAATGCCCTCCGGGATCTGTTCGACATCTGTTGTCGTGGCCACTATGACCCTTGCATCAGCCACGATTTCATTCATTGCGGAAATGATCCTGTCCGCCGTTAAGACCTCAATATGCTTAATCAGAAGGGCTGTGCAGCTGGCTCCACAATGGAATGCGCGGTCCGCTCTAGCCTTCAGGTATGCTTCGGTTTTCACGTCACCACCGTTCGCTCCGCCTTCGGTTAATATATCGTAGGAATCGATCGAGAAGGTATGTAGACCAATATCTGCGCATGCTCGTGTTGCAAGCGTAGCCTTTCCTATGTGTCTTTGCTGGGATCTCAGTAGGATGACGACGGGTTTCATGCCGAGCTGGATGGCGCGAGGACTCGTAGCTACCGACATCAGGTCTCGGATGCGCTCTTGGAGAGATGGTACATACGACTGCGGCGAATCGGTTACCAGACCATGAGGGGTTTGGATATCGCCAGCAGTCTTCGGCACGGCCTTCACTCCAAGCCAGTATTCCCAGCCATTGTTCAGAGTACCCGGGACTCTGCTCACATCGCTCCCAGCCTGTACCATTCTGGTAGTCGCCGAATCAATGATAGCAACGCCTCCCCACTGGTCTTCTCTCGCTTCGTCTGGCTCATCCGACAAGCTAGGAAGTACTTGTCCAACGCGAAACCAGGCGACGCCAACCTTTCTTGATCCGGCACGATCGGAATCTACCGCCTGGCCTAACCGGGTTGTAAGATCATCATCCGGAGCTGCCCCGTCGCTCGCAGCAGGGCCTGCGAACACAGCTCTACCGAGAGCTTCATCAACGCTGATTCCCACGAGATCTCCACTTTTGAGCAGGCGCCGTTTGGACTCAAAATATTGTTTGAGCCCGGCAAACAAGGCCGGTTGAAGAGCGCGATCCATGGAAAGTGGTGTAGATACTTTGAGCAAAGTAACTTCCTTTGCCAAAGGTGGGTTTCTGGCCGAACTTGCCTTCATCTGGTTCAGAAGGCCTGGTTTCGAACTTCCAGTGCCTCCAATGAAACTCATCGGTGATATGCGAAGATATTTCGGGTTTTCCAAGTTGTTCAGGAGTAGAGGAGGAACAAAGACTGAGGGTGTCAAACGCAGCGGAGGGCGTTGGGAGATACTTGAGCGTCTCTCCCCAGACTGACTGATTGGATACCGGGGTTTGGCGGATGGCAGGCCGGGCAGACCATAGATTTTGACCGCGCGCCAATCACCCGCATCTTCATTCTGTTCATTGAAGCTCCCCAGTTTGATGGAGGCGAATATATTGGATTGCGGCTCTTCTGTGGCCTCGATTCTCACCCAATCCCCAGAAAAGCAGCCTATCTTCGCAAGTGTATTGATATCTACAAATATGAACGACTCAGAGTCATCTTCTTCCCGCGGCCGGGGATGTAAGAGTTCATTGGATATGCCCCGCAGTAGCCCCTCTGCCTTAAAGACCTTACCACCGCCAACTCGTCCGGGACGCATGGTTGACGAAGTAAAGTTTGAGGCCACGGATCCTGGAGTATGAATGCCGTCAGCCCGCCGACCTCCTGCACGTGGGGTTGCAGCAGTCATCGCGGACATGACGCCGGATTGAGGCAGTTCAGGGGCAGAAAGGGAAATCATGTCATCCAAAGAATCATCCGATGTGTCACTCATGTTCCCTCCAGAGCCTTCCGTCTCCGACTCATCGGCGGTAGAGGTACTGTCCACCTCCGTGTTGCTCTCCGTGGCCTTCTCTTCAGCAGCCGAGTAAAACTGTTCATTGGAAGTATCATCGGCCTCATCTTCGGCTACCTGCTTGAGTAAGCCTGAGCCCGACCTCAGACTTCGCTGGGTCCGATGGCCATGCGGCCGCGCTTGAACCAGGACAATTTTTGTTGTCGGCATTAGCAACCCTTGGGAAACGGGTTCGCAGAACGAGATTTGCGCCGGGGGTGGTGGCGCATATGTTATGGGGTGTGGTGGTAGGGGAAGCGGTAGCACATCGCCAGTATGGACTACCTGCTGTACTCCCAGAGCTTCGCGTACCGCAGCAGTAAGCCTTTCTTCAGCTTCGGCCGCAGCCTTCTTAGAATACCTTTTGGTGTCCAATCCCTTCCCCGCCTTCGCCCAAAGTCCATTGGGTCCATGTAAGCTGTTAGTGAACCCACCCGCAAACTTATTCTGAATATCA